GATATGCAAGAGATAATGTGGATCAGTTGCCTCTTGCTCGCCCCCCGCTGGGGACCTGGCCCACAACCCAAGCACGTGCCCTGACTAGGAATCGAACCGGCGACCTTTCAGTTCCCAGGCCAGCACTCAATCCACTGAGCCACACCAGCCAGGGCCAGCTATTTCTTTACTTTCCAATTTGCATCTATCTATCTATCTATCTATCTATCTACCTACCTACCTACCTACCTTTCTATCTACCTATCTATCCATCTGTGTATCTATTTGTCTGTCTGTCTGCCCAGCCACCTGTCTCTCCATGTCTGTCTGTATTTCATGGGGAAGTTCACGATGGGGCAGGGCCTGGGGAGGGAACGTAATAGAGAGAACCCAGAAACTGAAGGTGGCGGGAAGAGGGGCCTTCTGTGGCCGTCACTGGTTTTGTGAGGGCTCAGGACTCAGTCGGGTCCCGGGGATGGGCTGACTGACTCCTTCAGGGGCATTAGTGGAGGCTTTAAACACATTATCGCTGGTCTCAGGATACTGTCGAGGACCCAAGAAGCACGGGGTTGGGGGCCTGAGATTCTCAGAGACCCAGGGACTGGGCAGGGTCCTTGGGGGGCTCAAGGGGCAGCGTAGCAGAGGCTGGGATGGCCAAGGGAACCCGAGGCCATCTTAATGGGCCACGAGGCCTCAGCGTGGGACAATAGGAACACTATGGTAGGCTCCTGGGGCATTTAGGTGAGTTCTGGGGCATCTTAAGGTGGGGCAGGAGAGGGACCCCAGGGTGACGGTTTTCAAGGGCAAGTATAGCCGGGTCCTGGAGGGCATTGTCACAGGACATCGGGCACTTTATATAAAGGTCCAAGGGACATTACAGTAGGATCCTAAGGGCTTTTATTTAATTTTTTAAAAGATTTCAAAAACATTTTATTTATTTTAATCTTCACCAGAGGACATTTTCTCACTGCTTTTGAGAGAGAGAGAGGGAGGAAGGAAGAGAGAGAGAGACATTGATCGGCCGTGTTCTTTTACGCGCCCTGAATGGGGATCGAACCCACAACCTGGGCATGTGCCCTGACCAGGAATCGAACCCACAATCTTTCAACCTATGGCACAATGTTCCAACCAACCAAGCTACACCAACCAGGGCTGAAGGCCTTTAAAGTGAAAGCCCAGGACTGCTGAAATAGTGTCCCAGAGAGATGACTGGATGCCACAGGATGTGGAGGGACAGTTGGACATGACACATTCCTGCGGGTATTTTAGGAAAATGCTAAAGCTGCTGTAATAGGACTCACGGGACATGAAAGCAGAATCTTCAGTGTCATGGGCAGCCCCTAAGGGTGGGCCCCTGGCTAGTCTGGCAGGATCCAGGAAGAGTATTGAAAATCAACAGAGGTTCCTCAGTAAGTGGAATATAACTTTACCATCTGAAGTGGTTCATTTCTTGCGTCAAGCTGGTTGGGCCGCGGTGCACAGATATTTGATCAGACGTTATTCTGGATGTTTCTGTGAGGATATTTTCCCATGAGATTTACATTGTACTCATAATGTGGATAGGCCACATCCAGCCAGTTGGCGGCCTGAATAGAAGAAAAAAATAGACCTCTCCCAAGCAAGAGGGAATTCAGCCAACAGACACCTTTGTTTGTTTTTTGTTTTTTTAAAAGATTTTATTTGTTTATTTTAGAGAGGAGGGAGGGAGAAAGAGAAGAGGAGAAACATCAATGTGTGAGAGAAACATTGATCAGTTGCTTCTTGCACTTGCCCCAACCCTGGGAACAGGTCTGCAGCCCAAGCTTGTGCCCTGACTGGGAATTGAACCAGCGACCCTTCGCTTTGCAGGATGACGCCCAACCAACTGAGCCACGCCAGCCAGGAACTTCCTTAGTTTTTTATTGATTGATTTGAGAGAGACATAGAGAGAGAAACATTGATTTGTTGTTCCACTTATTTATGGATTCATTGGTTGATTCTTGTACATCATGCCCTGACTAGATATCAAACCTTCAACTTTGGTGTATCGAGAGGACACTCTAAACAACTGAGCCACCTGGCCAGGGTCAGCAGACACCTTTGGCCTTCATTTGCTAAATCAGCTCTCCCTGGTTCTCCAGCCCTCCTGCCTTTGGACTTGTCAGCTGCAAGCCTTTCCTGAGTCCCCAGCCTGCCCAGCATTCCTATCAGATTTTAGACTCAGCACGCCTCCACGGTCATGTGAGCCAATTCCTCGAAGTAAGTCTGTTTCTACATATATATATGCACATCTTGTTGGTTCTGTTTCTGTAAAGAACACTGACTAATACATCATGTGACCTAGCAATTCCATTCCTGGCTATACACCCAAAGGAACTGGAAAGAGCTGTTAAAAAAAGCAAACACCATGTATACATATGTTCATAGCAACATTAGTTTTAAGAGCCAAAGAGTAGAAACAGCCCAAACAGCCATCAACAGAGGAATGGATAAACAAAAGGTGATAGATCCATACCGAGGAATATCATTATTCAGCTGTAAAAAGGAATGGTCTTCTGACCATTCCATGTACAACGTGGATGAACCTTGCAAACGTCATGCTGAATGAACCAAGCCAAACAGAAAAGGCTACAATTGTATGATCCTATTTATATGGAATATCCTGAACAGGCAAATCCACAGAGGCAGAAAGCAGATTAGTGGTTGCTAGGGGCTGGGGAGAAGCCAGACTGCTTGCGGAATGTAGAAGGTTTCCTTTTGGGGGTGACGAGAAAGTTCTGAAACAAGAGAGCGGTGGTGGTCCACAATATTGTGGATGCAGTAAATGTCATTAAATAGTAAGGTTGTTTTTTTTGTAACAGGAAATAACCAAATTTAATGCATGCATATGTATGGGAATCCCACATACACGAAAGAGTCAGAGACCCCACGTGCAGAGAAGTTCCATTAAGGGGTGAATATTGTGTTTTGTGCATTTTACAGTTGAACAAGTGAATGGAAGCATCACAGCAGGAGTGTGAGCTGGGGGTGGGCGACTGGAGGGGGCCTGTGTGCACGGTAGCAGTACCTCGCCATGCTTTGGTGTTCGTGGGGGCTTGGTTCTAGGGTCCCCTGCGGATGCCGAAGTCCAGGATGCTCATGTCCCTTATATAAAAATGTACGGTAATGTATATCGAAACTCTGTGTTTTTGAGGTCGTAGCAGAAGATATTAAAGACCCAAAGATTTGCCCTGACTGGTGTGACTCAGTGGGGCATCGTCCTGCGCACGGAAAGATCGCTGGTTCAGTTCTGGTCAGGGCGCATGGCTGGGCTGCCGGCCAGATGCCCAGTAGGGGGCGTGGGAGAAGAAACCGGTCAATGGTGCTCTCACACATGGATGTTTCTCTCCCCCTCTTTCTCCCTCCCTTCCACTCTCTCTAAAAATAAATAAATTTGTTTTTAAAAAAGGACTGCCTGCATCATGAGTTCAAATCAGTCTATTTCTGAAGCCTTGCAATGTCTTTTCTACAGTAATGTCAAATCTAGTGTTGCCCACCAGTCTTTAGGTCTTTTCTTTTTTAAAAAATATTTTATTTATTTTTAGAGAGGAAAAGAGAGAGAGAGAGAGGGAGAGAAACGTCAGTGTGTGGTTGCCTCTGGAGCGCCCTCTACTGGGGAGCCTGGCCCAAAACCCAGGCATGTACCGTGACTGGGAATCAAACCGGTGACCCTTTGGTTCGCAGGCTGGCGCTCAATCCACTGAGCCACAGCCAGGTCTGGGTTTTTTGTTTTTGGGGTTTTTTTAAAGATTTTTATTTAGTATTTATTTTTTAGAGAAAGGGAAAAGGAGGGAGAAAGAGACGGAGAGAAACTATGTGAGAAACGTTGATCGGCCGCCCCTTGCACTCCCCCAGCTGGAACCTGACCTCAACCCGGTCATGTGCCCTGACTGGGAATCAAACCGATGACCTTTAGGCTTGTGGGCCAGCGCTCAATCCACTGAGCCACACCAGCCAGGGCAGGGCTTTTTAAAATTTAATGTAATTTTAATTGATTTGAGAGAGAGAGAGAAACATTCATCCATTGCCTCACCCATCCATGCGCTCACTGGTTGTTTCCTGCATGTGCCCTGACCAGAGATGAACCAAAAACCTTGGCGAATTGGATGCTCTGACCAGCTGAGATACCTGGCCAGGGGGAACTCCTAGTATAAAACATCAGTATCATGGTCATTGACCAAAGCTTATTTCAGTTCATCACGTAAGGTATTTCAAATAAATTCTTGATCATTTCACAGGCAAAACTGATAGGAATACTAATCTACACTTCTTTGCAGCTTTTGCTTTCTTGAAGAAATGGTAAGTTAGGGTCCAGGTTTGAAGCACTTTTAGAATGAAAAGGGGCTTTTTGCCGATGGGTGACTTTTCGGTTTGTCATCGTATCTTCCAGTTCCGGTGCTGGCCGGGTTTCGTGTGTCATTTCTCTCACCTTTTTTTTTTTCCCCCCATTAGCGGCATCATCTGGCAGAGGAGGAATGTAAGGGTCTGTCCATTTTGCTTTGCATGTGCTGTGTCCATTCGGTGTTTGAGACATAATTGGACCTTGAATCAACAAATGTAAATAGAACTTTTGATCTATGGTGCTTTCATACTAAGTTTTAATTTTACTAATAAAACATTGTTCCAAAACAAAAATATTGGTCTAAGAAAAAGAAGTGCAAGGGCCCTTTAAGTCACACTTGGGGGGAGGGGTTCCAAGGAGGAAATACAGAAGTATCTGGAAACAGCCCCTTGTAGCAGGAGCTAGTGAAGGCCCTGGGGGCGGGGGTAAATGAGGTAAGAGGGGGCCCATAGAGACCCCAGATTTTGGACTCCAATACTGTTGGGTCCACGCTCCACTTGGTCATGAGATTGCGGGCTGGTTGATACCCTCCAAGTGGAAAAAAAACCCAGAGCAACAGAGCAGGGGACCATAAAACAAAAGGACAAAAGTTTCAGGAGAGGCAGAGACAAACACTCTGGAGAGTCTGGGCCCACGGCCCGGGGTGTGCCCTGCAGCTGGGGGGCGGGGTTGGACATTCCGGGAGTCGGGGAGCAGTCTCCGGACAGGATGTGAGAGAGGAACTGGGGTCTCCAGTCACGGGAGCGAGCTGGGGCTGCAAGCGAGAAGGGATCGTGGCTGCGGTGAGCGGAGCTGGGGCCCAGATCGAGGGAGGACCGGCTGTGGTCTGGGCTTGCGGGGCCAAGCGAGAAGTGGGCCGGATTCTTGGGGCCGAGGAAGGGGCTGGGGGCCGGGACTCCTGGTTCCGGGGAAGGAAGGGCGGGGGTCCCGGACTCCTGGGTCCGGGGAAGAAGGGTCCGGGGACCCCCGGACTCTTGGGTCCCGGGGAGGAGGGGTTGGGGCCCGGATTCCTGGGTCCGAGGGAGGAGGGGCCGGGGGCCCCGGTCTCCTGGGTCCCGGGGAGGAGGGGTTGGGGCCCGGATTCCTGGGTCCGAGGGAGGAGGGGCCGGGGGCCGGACTCCCGGACCCGAGGGCGGAGGAGGGGGCGGGGCTGAGCTCTGAGAATGAAATCTTAGCCTATCCAGGCTCTGTAATTAATTAACCAAACAGGGACCAAATTAAGAGGTGAAAGTTCAATGAAGTGTAGGGCTCTGTTGTGACGGTCCCGGACGGAACCCCGAACCCGCACCCGTAGGCGCCGCGCGGTGGCCGAGCCCCGTGGAGCTGGGGGAGGAGGGGGCGGGGCGGGGGTCCCGGAGAGTCACGCGCCCGCTCCCGCCCCAGGTCTCCCTCTCAGGATGCGGGTCCCCCGGCCTCAGCCCTGGGGGCTCTGTTTCCTGCTCTTCCTTCTGCCCGGGACCCTGCGCGCAGGTGAGGGGCGCTCGGCCGGGGCTGCCGGGGCGGAGGGAGGTGCCAGCGGTCGGGAAAAGAGCGGACGAAGCAGAATCCCCCCCTGGAGCCGGGCATTTCCTCCTCCTCCCCATTTCACTTTGTTCGTCCCCGTCTCCTCCTTGGCCCGGCGTGTCCGGGAACCCTCTGGCTCCCCGGCTTCAGGTCCCTGTCCCCCCCTCTCGGGGTCTGTCTCCCCATCTCCGAGTCTGCCCCCTCTGCTCTCAGGGTCGAGCCTTTCCCCTCTCGGGGTGGGGTCCCGCTCCCGCCCCAGGGCCCCGCGCCCACCTGCCCCCTCCCCTGTCTCCGCAGACAGCCACCGCTCCCTGCTGTACCACTTCACCGCCGTGTCCTCCCCGGCCCCGGAGACTCCTGCCTTCTGGGTGTCGGGCTGGCTGGGCCCGCAGCAGTACCTGAGCTACAATAACCTGCGGCCCGAGGCTGAGCCCTGCGGGGCTTGGATCTGGGAAAACCAGGTGTCCTGGTATTGGGAGAAAGAGACGGTAGACCTGAGGAACAAGGAGAAGCTCTTCCTCGAAGCTGTCACAGCTTTGGGGACAAAAAGTGAGACTGGGACTCCCCGGTCTGAGGGAGGAGGGGCTGGGGGTCTTGAATCCTGGATGCTGGGACCAGCCGGGCCGCCTCCTGCTCACCTCTGTGTGGGTACCCCAGACCCCTACACCTTGCAGGGCCTCCTGGGCTGTGAGCTGGGCCCTGACAATATCTCAGTGCCCGTGGCCAAGTTCGCCCTGAATGGCGAGGACTTCATGACGTTCGACCCCAAGGCGGGCGCCTGGAACGGAGACTGGCCGGAGGTCGAGCCCATCACTGCCCAGTGGATGAAGCACCCGGAGGTTGTGAACAACGAGAAGACGTTCCTGCTGCACTCCTGCCCGCAGCGGCTGCTGGACCACCTGGAGAGGGGCCGCGGGAACCTGGAGTGGAAGGGTGAGCAGGCCCCGGGAGAGCCTCGGATCCCCAGGGACCGCCCGCCCCGGCCCCTCAGCCCCACCTGGCGCCTCATCTTCTTCCCACAGCCTCCTTCCCGGCCTCCCGGCCACCAGTCTCCCCGCAGCCGCCCATCCGCCCCTCATCCCAGAGGGTCTTTCTGGCCCCCAGAGGCGACCCTGCCCCTTTCCTGCACATGGCCCTCCTGTGGCTGGCAGAGCCTTCAGGACCCAGCTCAAGTCCCTCAGACGGGCACTGAGGGCCCTTCGTGCCCGCGCCTCTGTCCCTCTCCTGAGCCGCGCATTTCTCCATCTGCCACCTTCCACCGTGTGGAATGGCCTGGAGCTCCTGGAGCTCACACCAGCCCTCCCGTTCTTCACCTCTGCCGTTGTGCTTTCCGTTCCACTGGTGTCACACCCGGGGACATTCCTCTGGCCCATGAGGCTTTCACTTGCCTCTTTCGGGCTCCCATGATGCCTTGTATGACCTCCATTCTAGCACATGTCCCTCTGAGCTGTAATGAAATACATCTGGGGAGCCGCCAAGGGCTGGAATTAGAGTCTTCGTTCCTCAGGGTTCCCCCCACCTGGCTACCCCGGCGTCTGTCTCCGCCCTCCACACACACCATCCTCTATCTGGCCCTCAGAGGGAGCTCCCTTCCTGCCACCGCTTAAAACCCTCCAAATAAGCCCTGGCTGGGTAGCTCGGTGGGTCGGAGCATCATCCCATAAACCGAAAGGTCTCGGGTACAATACCCGGTCAGAGCACAAGCTTAGGGTGTGTGTTCAGTCCCTAGTCGGCCATGTACGAGAGGGAACCCATTGCTGTTCCTCTCTTGCATCGATGTTTCTCTCCCTCTCTTCTTCCTTCCCTTCCCTTCTCTCTGAAAAAGTAAATTTAAAAAAAAAAAGGACACTGATTTAGTTGAAAACAAACAAGCAAACAAAAAACCATCCACTTAGCTTCCCATTAGTCTTAGACTAAAATTCAGACTCTAGCCTGTGGCCCTTAAGCCCCATGTCATCTGGCTGGTTTCTGTCACTGTGAGGTCACAGCATCCCCTGCCCCACTAGCCTTCTCCTTGTCCTCCAACACGTGCGATTCTTTCTCTCCTCGGGACCTTTGCACCTGCTGTCCTCTCTGCTTACGATTTTCTTCCTGGGGATCCTGCCATGACGGGGTCCTCCTCATGCTTTAGGTTTGCTCTCGGACGTCAGCTCTTCAGCGAGGCCCGCCCCTCCCGACCACCCTGGCTAAAGCGTGTCCCATCCCACTGCCATGACGGCCTCTCACGCCACTGCGGTGTCCGTTCAATCATTATAATATCTTTATTCTTTTTCTTTTTTATTGAGCTGTGACTTACCTACCTAACCTGCATGGCTTGATTAATTTTTATTTTAAAGATTTTATTTCTGTATTTTTAGAGAGAGGGGGGAAGGGAGGGAGAGAAAAAGGGAGAGAAACATAGATGTGTGAGAGGTACACTGATCAGTTGCTCCTCGCACACCTCCACCTGGGGACCTGGCCCGTGACCCAGGCATGTGCCCTGACTGGGAATCGAACTGACAACATTTTGGTCCCCATGCTGGCATTCAATCCACTGAGCCACACCAGCCAGGGCTCAATTAATTTTTATATGTGCCCACATACCTGCCCTCCAGATGAAGATCTAGAACATTTCTAGACCCAGGAGACTTCCTGTGTCCGCTCCCATTCCATATGCCTTAAATGTAGCAACTAGCCTGACTCTGTCATGATAGTGTTGCCTGACTTTCAGCCTCGCGTGACTATGAGTATGTGCCTGTCTGTGTCTGGCTTCTTTCCCTCAAGCTTGTGTTATGAAACTGTTGTTGTGTGTATCAATAGTTCTTTTTTTTTTTCTTTTTTCTTTTTATTGGGGAGTACTATTCCCTTCCGTTGCATGGCTCATACCACAGTTTATCAATTAATTTTTTTTCCCCAGATTGGGGCTCTTAGGAGTAAAGTTTCTATGAGCATTCTTGTATATGTTTTGATGAATCTTTATCTTCATTTATTTTGACTTAATGCCCTTGAGTGGAATGGTGGAGCAATAGCCTGCTTATTGGATTAGGTTTAGTAGGTAATGCTATATATTTTCTCAAAGTGGTTGAACCAGTTTCATACTCTCACCAGGTGTGTATGTGAATTCTAGTTGTGCCACAGGTTTGCCAGAATTTGATACTGTCTTTCATGTTAACAATTGTAGTGGGCGTGTAGTAGCATTTTATTGTGAATTCAGTTTTCACTATCAGATAAATGATTTGATGACTTGCCACATTGAGTACTTTTTCACCTTATTTGCCAGTGGGGTGTCCACTCTTGTGGAGTGGCTGTTTGGGTCTTCTGCCCATTTTTACTTATTTGTTTGTTTTTAAAAGGTTTTATTTATTTATTTTTAGAGAGGGGCAGGGAGAGGGGAAGAGAAGAAGAAAAACAGCAATGTGAGAGAGAAACATTGGTTGCTCGCCTCTTTTACACGCCCTGTCCAGGGACCAAACCTGCAACCCAGGCATGTGTCCTGGCTGGAAATCAAAGTGGCGACCTTTCACTTTGCGGGACGGTGCCCAACCAACTGAGCCACCTGGATCAGAGCAATACCTTTTACTTATTTTTCTTATCGTATTGCACCGGCCAGAATCCCCAGTACCATGTTAAATAGAATGGTGATAATGAACATCTTGTATTCTCAAATTCACAGAGAAAGCATCAGCAGTTTATCAAGTATTATGTTAATTATAGTTGTTTTTTCTGTTTCAAATTGCCCAAAGCATTTATATAGTTTTTCATTTTTTTATTGTTCTGCAATTACAATTTTCCCATTCCCGCCCATTACTCTCCCCTGCCCTGCCCACCTCCACCTCCCGCATTGAACCCTCCCCCACCCCGTTGTCTCTGTCCTCGGGTCCTTTATGCATGTTCCTTGATGACCCTTTCCCTTCTTTTCCCCATTATCTCCCTTCCCCTTCCCCATAGTTTTTTTTGTTGATGCCCATTGTCAAATTAAGGAAGTTCTCTTCAACTCATAGTTTACTAGGAGTTTTTGTTGTTTTTGCTTATTTATTTTTTATTTTAAAAAAGATATTATTTTTTTTAGACAGAGGGAAAGGGAGAGAAACATCAATGTGTGGTTGCCTCTGGATGTACCCGCAACCGGCCACTGGCCTGCAACCCAGGCCTGTGCCCTGACTGGGAATGGATCTGGTGACCCTTTGGTTCACAGGCCGGTGCTCAATCCACTGAGCCACACCAGCCAGGGCAATTTTTTTAAGTACATTTTATTGATTATGCTATTACTGTTGTCCCGTTTTTTTCCTCCCCTTTATTCCCCTCCGCCCTGCACCCCTCCTCCCACCAGCATTCCCTCCATTTAGTTCATGTCCATGAGTCATACATATAAGTTCTTCAGTTTCTCCATTTCCTATACTCTTCTTAACCTCCCCATCTATTTTATACCTACCATTTACGCTTCTTATTCCCTGTACCTTTTCTCCCTTCTCCTGGCTCCCCCTCCCCACTGATAACCCTCCATGGGATCTCCATTTCTGTGATTCTGTTCTGGTTCTAGTTGTTTGCTTGATTTGTTTTTGTTTTTAGGTTCAGTTGTTGATAGCTCTGAGTTTGTTGTCATTTTACTGTCCATAGTTTCGATCTTTTTTTCTTAGATAAGTCCCTTTAATATTTCATATAATAAGGGCTTAGTGATGATGAACTCCTTTAATTTGAGCTTATCTGGGAAGCACTTTATCTGCCCCTCCACTCTAAATGATAGCTTTGCTGGGTAGAGTAACCTTGGATGCAGGTCCTTGCCTTTCATGACTTTGAATACTCCTTCCCAGCCCCTTCTTGCCTGCAAGGTTTCTTTTGAGAAATCAGTTGATAGTCTTATGGGAACTCCTTTGTAGGTCTCCTTTTCTCTTGCTGCTTTTAAGATTCTCTCTTTATCTTTAATTTTGGGTAATGTAATTACGACGTGCCTTGGTGTGTGCTTCCTTGGATCCAACTTCTGTGGGACTCTGAGCTTCCTGGATCTCCTGGAAGTCTATTTCCTTCGCCATATTGGGGAAGCTCTCCTTCATTATTTGTTCAAATAAGTTTTCAATTTCTTGCTCTTCCTTTTCTACTTCTGATACCCCTATGATTCAGATGTTGGAACATTCAAAGTTGTCTCAGACATTCCTCAGCCTCTCCTCATTATTATGAGTTCTTGTTTCTTCATTCTGTTTTGAATGTTTATTTCTTCCTTCTACTCCAAATCGTTGATTTGCGTTCCGGCTTCCTTCCCTTCCTTGTTGGTTCCCTGTATATTTTTCTTTATTTCACTTTGCATAGCCTTCACTTCTTCCTCTATTTTGTGACCATACTCAGCCATTTCTGTGAGCATCCTTATTATCAGTATTTTGAACTGTGCATCGGATAGGTTTGCTATCTTTTCATCCCTTAGTTGTATTTTTTTTCTAGAGCTTTGATCTGTTCTTTCATTAGGGCCATATTTCTTTGTCTCTGCGTGCCTGTTACATTTTAAGGGGCAGAGCCTTAGGTATTCACCAGAGCGAGGCAACCCACTTCAAAGCCTTGTGATGCTGTATGTGGGGGAGGGGTCAGAAAGGGAACTATGCCACTTGCTCAGCTCTCTCCCTGATTTCAGTCACTTCCCCACTACCCACAAGCAGATTCGGCCCTCTGGTGCTGACTCCCAGGTGGGTGGGTTTTTGTGTGTTCTAGGACCCTGTGGGCCCCTCTAATGAACTCTCTTATGGGGCTGGGACTTTCTCTCGCCACCGCATCCCCCACAGAATTTTACAGCCAGAGGTTTTGAGGCTTTCTTTTCCTACATTGGAACCCTGGATTGCTGGTCTGTCTCCCTCCCCAGCTGTTCCTCCTGGTTTATCCACATGCAAATGTGGGACAGCCTGGTCCGCAAGCCTCCACCTTGCCTTGCTTCCTCTCTGCCCCAGCTGCACGTCTCCACCCCTCCCAGTGGTCTGGATGAGTTTCTCCTTTAACTCCTTGGTTGTTGGGCTTCCATACAGTTCAATTTTCTGGCAGTTCTGGTTGTTTTTTTTGTTTTTAAATGTTTTTGTTTTGAATAGTGCTGGGTTTTATAAAATGACCCTTTACTTTTTCCTTTTTATTCTAACATGGTGAATTATATTAACTAATTTTTAAAAGTTAAACAACCCTGGCTGGTGTGGCTCAGTGGATTGAACGCTGGCCTTCAAACCAAATAAAAAAATTATTTTAGAAAATAAATAAACAACTTTTTTTTCCCTAAGGTTCTGAGAATGGTTTCCTCTTATTTCAATTCCCTGGAAGAATTTGTGTAAGAGTAGTAGTATTTCTTTTTAAAAAATATTTTAAAAGATTTTATTTACTTTTTCTTAGAGAGAGGGGAAGGGAGAGGGGGAGAGAAGGAGAGAAACATCGATGTGTAAGAGAAACATGGATTGGCTGCCTCTTGGACGTGCCCCAACCAGGGACCAGGCCATGACACAGGCACGTGCCCTGACCAGGAATCAAACCAGCGACCTTTGCTTTTCGGGACTACACCCAGCCAACTGAGCCACACAAGCCAGGGCAAGAGTGCTATTCTATCTTTCTTAGTTCTTTTGAAGAATTCACCAATGATGTTATCTGAGCCTGGCATTTTATTTGTTGAAAAGTTTCAAATTATGGATATTTTTAAAACATATGTAGCACTACTCAAGTTTTTAATTTCTTGTGTTGGTTGTATCTCATCGGGATTTGTCCAGTTCATTCCGATTTCAAATATTCTGTCATGAAATGTTTCATAATATCCTATTACTATCTTTTCAATGAGGGCAGTGTCTGTTTTATTTTCCCTCATCATTACACTTTTGGAGCCTGTTTCCCCCTTTTTTTTTTTTTTTAATTTTATTTATTTGTTTCTAGAGAGAGGGGAAGGGAGAGAAAGGGAGAGAAACGCCGACGGGTTGGATTGGTCGCCTGTTGTATGCACCCTGACGGGGGACCGAACCCACAACCCAGGCCTGTGCCCTGATCCGAAATAGAACTGGAGGCCCTTCCCTTCACTGGGATGATGCCCAGCCGGCTGAGCCACACCCGTCAGGGCAGACTCTGTTTCCCTTTCATTTGCACACGAATATTTGTCTCTCTCCTCATTGGAGTATGAGCTCCGTGAGGACAGGGACTTTTGTCTGTCTTGTTCACGGCTGTGTCCTCAGTGCGTGGAAGAGTCCCTGGCATGACAGATGCTCAGTACGTGTTGGTTGCAGGAAGGAATGGATGAGGGCTGGACACCCTGGTGGTGCATAGGTTGTGTCCCTGTGCCCCGGGAAGGTCTTGCGCCTTTTACCATTATATTCCCCAGGCGCAGGACAGCGCAGGGCACGCAGCAGGGCCTGCTGGGTAGAGTGGAAGGATTGGAGGCCTCTCTGTGGCCCTGGTCCTGGGGGCTTAGCCTGTTGCCTGTTTGTCTGCAGAGCCACCCTCCATGCGCCTGAAGGCCCGACCAGGCAGCCCCGGCTTCTCTGTGCTCACCTGCAGTGCCTTCTCCTTCTACCCGCCCGAGCTGCAGCTGCGCTTCCTCAGGAACGGGCTGGCCGTTGGCACCGGTGAGAGCGAGCTCGGCCCCAACGGCGACGGCTCCTTCCACGCCTGGTCGTCGCTAACGGTCAAAAGCGGCGACGAGCACCACTACCGCTGCGTGGTACATCATGCGGGGCTGCCACAGCCCCTCACTGTGGACCTGGGTGAGGCCCCCCGGGCACTGGTAACCCTTGTTTGTGGGCTTTCTGTCGCAGTCCTTTCTGAGTCTGACTGCGCTCCAGTCCTCTTGGAGTCCGGCTGCCCTGTGCCCCACTACTGCGAGGCCTCCAAGAGCCTGACAGCCTTCTGTCTGGGTTGCTTGTCCTCCCTGGCCTTCCATGCTGTTGCTGCTTCTGGCCTTGTTGACTCTGGCCCCCCTGTTAACCGCTATGGACAGTCCTTGCTAAGTCTACCCACCTTCTGTCCCGCTGCTGCTAATCTTCGTGGAGCCTGACCATTGCTCTCTGCTGCTGCCAGTCCTCACCAAGAACGGCCATTTACTGCTTGGAGTCTGACCTGCTGCTCTGTGCCCTCCCCTGCTCTCCGAGTTCTAACGCCACCTCCCTGCTGCTGCTGCTGCAGGTCCCTTGGCCAGTACGACTGGGACTGCTCTTGCTATGGCTGGTTCTTTCATCCAACCTGGGAACACTCTACCCAGACCAAGAAGGTCAGCTGACTGGCCTTTCGTCTGCCCACCCCCACCCCCAAAACTTAGTGTTGGGAACCCTGAAATTGAGAGGACTGAGCACTCCCAGCCCCCTGTCCTGGCTCAGACAGGGCAGGGGGTCCACTCACTCAACATCTGACAGCATATCTCTGGCTGCAGAATCAGCAGGCAAGTCCTCGATGCCAGTGGTTGGAATCGTCATCGGCCTCTTACTGCTCACGGCAGTGGCTGCAGGAGGAGCTCTGCTGTGGAGGAGGATGAACAAAGGGCTGCCAGGTGTGGGGCAGGGAGGGGGAGGAGGCTCAGAGACCCCAAAAATGCGGCCGGGGGGGGGGGGCAGACATCTAGACAGAGCAGGACAGAGAGAGGTGGGGACAGAGAATGGGAAGGGGGAGAGAGAGAGACTCGGGGACAGAAACCCATGGAGTAGCAGAGAGACTCAGACACACACGTGTGTGGGGGAGGGGCAGGGACCCAGAGGGTCTCAGATTCTGATGGCTTCCCCCTTTCTCTATCCAGTGCCTTGGATCTCTCTCCGTGGGGACGATGGCGGGGCCCTCCTGCCCACTCCCGGCCTGCCCAAGGAGGCTGACTCCTAGGATATAAAAGCATTCTCGGCCACGGCCTGAGTGTCCCCATCCTGGCTGCTACTAGCTAATGTAGTCAGGTCCCTTTTGTGCTGTGAGACATCCTGGAATACTGGTTATTTCTGAGCCTCCAGAAGAAGTCCTGGGCCCGGTGTCCTCCCTCTGGATTGTTCCTTCTGTGGTCTGCCTCAGTTTCCCCTCCTAAAATATATGGCTCTTATCCACCTCCACATATAACAAGAATTTGGGCCAGAATTAACTGTGTTCGCATCATTTCAACTTTTCCGGTAGGGGAGGTGAGGGAATGGGTGGGGGGAATAAACGACAGTGTGAGTTCTGGGCTGCGAATCTCTCCTGAGGCTAATATGTTGCAACTATGGAATCTGCCAATTGTATATACCAAGTCATATTTTTTTCATAAGTTTCACAAGTATCTCCTGAATGCCTACACTGTGCCAGGCATTTTGAGAGAGTCTTGGCTGGAGTCTGACCTGATTCCTTGGTGGAGCGGAAGAGTGGTTCCCTCTGTCGGGGAAGAGGATGGCTCCTCTGGCCCCTTGGTTCCCTTCTTTCTTAAACCATGCTGACAAAGGGGAAAAAGATAAAAACAAATCTCCCATGAGGCTTCACAGTTAGAACATCTGGAAGTTATGGGGTATGGCGCCCCGAAGCCTGCCGGGAGTTGTAGTTCTCCCGCCTGCGTCACTCCGGCGTCGCCCACCGCGCCCGGCCGGCGAAGGGGCGAAGCCGACCCCCGCGCGCCAGGTTGTCCTTTGTGGACGTGGCGCGGGGCGGCCGCCGCCCCTCTCTTTGGCTCCGCCCCGTGGGGGGTCCTCCAGAGCGCATTGGTCGGAGGGCGGGGCCTCTGCTCTGCGGGAGGCGGGGCCTGGCTGGAGAGCAGCCAAATTGGGCATCTTTTTGGAGAACGCAGAGCGGAGCGTGGAGAACGCAGGGGAGTCTGGATAACCCGGTAAACGGAGGCGAGGGTGGGTGGCCGGCCCAGGTCGGACGGCTCAGGTCCACTCGGGTCGAGGATTAGAGTCCAGGGTGGAAACGACGCCCGGGACCTTGCCTGATGTCTTTTTTTAACCACGACCCTGCCCCACACTTTGCCTGGGAAGTGCGCCACGTCTCCTGCTTGAGTCCCCCTGCTTGCAGCTCTGGGACCCCTCTGGAACTTCCTCAAAAATTCAGGCCCCGAAGCTGGTTTTATCTCCTAAGAACCCAGCCCTTTCCTCCCATTCCCGCTCTTCTTGAGCCCAAAACTTTGCAGCCAGCCACCGTCCCTCTGCCCTGGTCTGCTTCCCCTCCCCCCACCCTCCCGTTCGGTCTCTGTCCTTTTCCCTGTAACTCCTGACTCCTAGCCTCCGCCACTTCCCAGGGACTGATGACGTGGCGACCGTCACTTCTGCTGCTGCTCTTGCTGCTCAGGCACAGGGCCCAGGGGAAGCCCTCCCCTGAGACCGGCCCTCATGGCTCGGCGAGGGTGCACCAGCAGGCTCCCCTCAGCGAGGCCCCTCACGATGATGCCCACGGGAACTTCCAGTACGACCATGAGGCTTTCTTGGGACGAGAGGTGGCTAAGGAATTCGACCAACTCAGCCCAGAGGAAAGCCAAGCCCGTCTAGGGTAGGAGAAAGATGGGGGCCGGAAGATTCAGGGTTGTAATTTAAAACAGGGAGGTCATGGGAGGCATCGGTGAGAAGGTGGTATTTGGGCCATTGGAGTATGGGCGGGAATAGCCTGCCAGGCAGAGGGAAGTATAAGTGCAAAGGCCCTGAGGCAGGAGGAGGCCTGATGTGTCCAAGGAACAGTGAGTCACAGGTCGCTGGAACCCGCTGAGCAAAGGGAGAGGGAGATGGTGGCAGAGAAGGAACAGAGTAGCTGTGCAGGGCCTTTCGGGTCAGAGGTGACGATTTCAGCTTTTCCCTCAGGGTAGTTTCAGAGCCAAGGGAGGGCTTTAGAGGGAGGGCATGAGCTGACTTTGATTTTAACAGAATCCCTCCGGTTGCCATTTGGGGAACAGCCTAGATAGAGCAAGACACAGGAAGCCCCTTGAGGAAGTGACCGCGGTGGTCCAGGTGGGAGACAAGCGATGAGGGTGCCTAGGCCAGGGAGGAGGTGGCCGCGGGCGCCCGGTCCCTGGCTGGGAGGCGGTGTGTGTTGGGGTTGGGTGAGGGAGGGGAGGGAGAGGAAAAGCAGAGAGAGGCTGGCATACTGGGCATAGCGTTTACCGCAACGCCAGGCACTGTTTTAACGGCTTTCCAACGGTTAACTAATGTATTTTATTTCCCACACCCACGGCACAGAGGGGTTAAGTGACTTGCCCACAGTCACATAGCCAGTAAGAGGGGGCTGCAGAGTTTGAACCTAGAGTATCTGGGTGTGGATGCCCAAGCGCATAGCAACAGCTTGAACCTCAGGCTGGAGTGTGGGTCGTGGGGACAGAGCCCGTCTCCAGCCGACCCTAGCAGAGACGCCTGGCTTGGTAGGGAGCAGAGGGCCCACTCAGGTTCGGCCCTGGGGACTGGGTCTCAGGGCTTAGGGAGAGGGACAGATAAGGCTCCTCCAGTGCTCTGTTTGTTAGCACTTGGGCAAGGACCCAAACCGGTGGCGGGGCATGGCCAGGGGAGAGGGAAAGGGTCTGGGAGCCGACAGGCGAGACCTCTCTCACCTGTGAAGTGGGACCACTCGCCGGGTTGCGGGTGGTGGTCCTAGGTCAAGGCCTGATAACGTCTGGGAAAAGGTAGGGGACGCAGCGTGAAGCGGGGCTGGATGGAGAGGGGCCTGAAATTGACCTGCGCATCTAGGGCGGGGGCGAGCAGGAGGCGTTAGTAGAGGAGGTGTTGAAGAAAGATCCTAAAACCGGCAGAGCCAGGGAAGAGGGGCGTGGGGCCGGGCCGGAGACGGCCAGAGGTGTGTGGCCGTGGAGCTGTAGTCCAGAGGCAATCTTGGGGCAGGAGCCCTGCGGGCCAGAGGCGCAGTGTGACACTCCTCCTCCTGTCCCTACTCCAACTCCGAGGACTGGCGGGAGACGGAGCACACTCAGGATCGAGGGGCGGGCCCGGGGCGGAGGGAGTGGCCTTGGGTTGGTTTAGGGTTTCTCCCCACCTGGGCGTGTCGTGGACCACAGCACCCGCCAGAGGCCCGCTGGGTGTCGGAAGGGCGTGATCACCTCTGGGAGCCGAACCCTGCGGTGGGCACGGTCTCGGGATTGACCTGTGCCTTCCCCAGGTTGTGGGCGGTTGTTGGATAGCATTTTTAGCCGTGTAACAGGTGTGCCTCAGGTTGGGGAGTGGCTCCGCGTGAGGGGCGGAGCCTGGGCCAAATAGAGACCCCAGGGTGGGCGGGGCCTGAGGCTGACACGTGCCCCGCCCCGACCCGCAGGCGCATAGTGGACCGCATGGACCGCGCCGGGGACGGGGACGGCTGGGTGTCACTGGCCGAGCTCCGCGCGTGGATCGCACACACACAGCAACGGCACATACAAGACTCGGTGAGCGCGGCCTGGGACACGTACGACACGGACCGCGACGGGCATGTGGGTTGGGAGGAGCTTCGCAACGCCACCTATGGCTACTACGCGCCTGGTATGCGGCAAGACCCTGACCCTGCTCCTCACACACACAGTGACCCTGACCTTTTGACTCCTCATCCTGAGAACCTTTTAGCTCATTGTCGGAATCCCTGGCCTTTGACCTCTGACCCTTGAGCAGGGTCTACCCACTTCTAAGGCCTCATGACCCTGAAACCACCAGTCTCTGATTTCTGGCTTCTCATTCTGGCATGTACAGCCTCTATAATCCTGGGACCCTGGGACGGGGGCGCTTAAGACCCTTGACCAGGGACGTCTACCTTCCCTGCCCCTGCCCTCTGACCCTTCCCCTGAGAACCCCAAAGCCATTCACCCTGCCTGCTGCCTGTCTGGGTTCCCTCCCCGCTGTCCCCACGCCCCAGCCCTGGGCCCCCACGGCTCTCCCTCCTTCTTTCCTGTACCCTCCCCCCAGCCTGTCCCTCATTTATCCCCCAAGGGGTCTTGCCACATCCAGAGCTTACCCAGACCCTCCGCTGCCTGCAGCTCCCCACGCCTCCTCTGGGCTCCCAGGAGCAAGTCCCAGCCCCTCAGGCCCACCTGGCCCCCGCCTCCGGCTTCATTTTCCTGCATTTTCTTCCCCAGTCAAAGAGATATTCTGCCATTTCCCTGAACTCACCACATTCTTCCAACCTCCACACTCCGCACACCGTGTTCCCTTTGTTGAAAACGCCCTTCCCCTCCACTCTGTCCAGCGGAATAACCTGCATCGGCATGACTTGGGGGCCCAATGGTCAGAGCTCACTCAAGTCCGCCATTCCTGGCTGCGTGACCTTGGGCGCGTTAATTCCTTCCTGGGAGTCGGTTTCTCCGTCATGAAGTGAGGCCAAACAAAAGAACTCTACTTGCTTTTTGTGAGGGTGAAATGCAATGTAGGTAAAGAGCTTAACATGTCATAAGCTGCCACTGCAAGGTAGCAAATACATGTAAATAATGAATAGGTGTTATGCATGATTCACGCAGGAGAGGTCTCCCCGCCCCGACCCCTGGGGCTGGACCCCCGTTGCCTTTCTCTTCGACATGCCCGGAGTCACCTCCACGAAAGCACATCTCACGGAGCTCCCTCCTTTCCTAGGTGAGGAATTTCATGATGTGGAGGACGCGGAGACCTACAAGAAGATGCTGGCTCGGGACGAGCGGCGTTTCCGGGCGGCTGACCAGGATGGGGACTTGCGGGCCACTCGGGAGGAGCTGACAGCTTTCCTGCACCCGGAGGACTTCCCACACATGCGGGACATCGTGGTCGCCGTGAGTGAGGCCAGCCTTCCAGCGCTCGCCTTGGGAGTTCCAGTCCCCCGGCCTCTGGCACCTCCCCAGGAAACCCAGGCCACAAGTGGCCATCAATGGGAGGCGACGTCTCCCATCCCACCCTGTCCCCCTGGTGTCACTACTAGTGGGATGATTTATGCCCACTTGTGTCATGCCTAACTCTTCACCAATTGATGTGGTTAAACCCCCAAAAGATGCAAAAAAGGTAAACCCTCTTTTTTCCTCCTGTGTCCCCACCCTGTCCCCTGTGGTCTGGTCCCCACAGGGAACCCCATTCTTGTGTCTCCGTTTCCAAAGCTGCTTTGAGGGTCTATGGCAGGGCTGTTAGGATCAAGGGCTCTGAGGCCAGAGGGCCTGGGTTCAAATCCCAGCCCTGCTGCTTCCTGGCTGTGTGACCTTAGGCACGTTATCTAACCTCTCTGGACCTGAATTTCCTTATCTGTAAAATTGTGGTCCTGGAGGGTGGTTATAGGGACTAGGTGAGTCCATACACGTAAAACTGGCCTGGTGCGTAAATGCCCATGATGTCACTTTATACACACATGTCAATACAGCGACAGGACAGGAATCGCTGGATTAGCGGGAATCAGCGAGCAGAGACGTCATTAACCCAGGCCTCGAACACCTTACGCTTCCCACCCGCAAGGCCCAACGTCTGTCTTTTAGAACAGATCATCTTGTAACACCTCTTAACTCTCCTGAGTTGACTATTTAACACACCCTGGTGGAGCGTGTTCTCTGTGCCAGGCACCCTTCTAACACCTTTACCTGAGTGACCTCAATTTAATTGTCCTGGCAACCCTATGGCGGTGGCCTGTCATCTTCATGTTATAAACTAGGGTACCTAGGCACAAAGACGTGACTTTCCCAGGAAGAAGTCACTTTTCACCCAGATAAGAAGTGACACAGCCTAGATTTGAACCGAGACAGCTGCATCCAGGGTCTCAACCAAAGGTCGACAAACCAGAACCTGTGGCCGAATCCAGCCCACGGAAGGTTTTTGAAAAAAGTTTTGTTACATGGCCCCTCCCATTTGCTTACATGTGCTACAACTGCAAAGTTGAGTCAGTTCCATAGAGATGGTGCAGCAGGCAAAGCTGAAAATATTTACTACCTGGCCCCTATGGAAAAAGCTTCCCAAGCCCTAGTCTAAACTCTGCCGCCGGCGCTCGCGTTCGGGGATAGTGAGCGTAACCTCCGCACACACAGGACTGTTCATCCAAGTCGTACTATGAGGGAGAAACTAAGGGAAAATCACATAACAAATGACAGGGATTTCAATATGTAGGTGTTGTAAAGTTACCAGATTTAGCAAATAACATAGGACATCCAATTACACTTGAATTTGTAACAACAAATAATTTTTTTAGTCCCACACAGTATTTGGGATTAGTATAAATCTGTCCACACACAATATTGGGGACATACTTTTACGAAAAAATTATTTATCTGTAATGGAAGTAACTCAGCATCTTCGAAGTATGTCACCGATAGTGTGTGGGACAGACTTATACTGAAGAATTATTTGTTGTTCATGTGAAAGTCGAATGTAATTGAGAATCCTGTATTTTATCTGTCAACCCTAAAATGTCAACGTGGCTCGCTGAGTCCTTTAGCGCTTACAAGCAAATGGGAGGCAGGGTCTAGGCTCTGCCCCTTCCAGGGAAAGAGGCTTCCGCCCTTGGGGAGTGTGGGCAGGGCGGTGAGAAAGCGCTTAGGGACACAGGACACCTCTCCTTGTATAAACGAACATGTGCGTCAGGACACCTGGGTCCCGTGGCCCCACGCATGAAGTGCAGGGAGAGCCTGCAGCATTATAGTGCCCCAGAAGCTCCCAAGTTTCCCACATGCCCCTGGGGACAGCTGTGCCCTCCTGAGACTGCTCCAGTGCCTGTCCCCACAGCCAGTTCCCAATGAGATGCCCCGAGGGATCCTCATGTTCTGACCCAGGGGTCCTTTTCCCCTTGGGAGCCAGCCTCCATGCCTCTTTCTCCCCAGGAAACCCTGGAGGACCTGGACAAGAACAAAGATGGCTACATCCAAGTGGAGGAGTACATCGGTGAGTGGGACCAGAATCCCTCCCCGAGGACACCTGTCCCCTCCCAGGCCTGGGTGGCAGCCCAATGCCTTATAAAGCAAAGGCCCTCTGATGTGGAGGGAGGGGTGATGCTTGAGTTCATGTATCCACCAAACATTTATCGAGCACCTACTGTGTGCCAGGCTCCCAAAGCACTTATCCATTACTTGGGCAGGGGGTGTACCTGGCCCAACAAATCTTTTTTTTTTTTTTAGGATCTTATTTATTTTTAGAGAGAGGGGCAGGGAGGGAGAAGGAGAGGGAGAGAAACATCAAAGTGTGAGAGGTACCGCTGGTACGCCCCCAAGCAGGGACCTGGCCCACAACCCAGGCATGCGACAGAACTGGCAACCTTTCAGTTCCCAAGCCGGCGCTCGGTCCTCTGAGCCACCTGAGCCAGGCCCAGCAAATCTTTATCAAGCACCTACTGTGGGCTGGGCCCAGGAATCATTTATTGAGTACCTTCTGTGTGTCAGACTGAGGAAGCATTTATCAAGCACCTACTGTGTGCCACGACCAGGAAACATTTACTGAGCATGTGAGAGGGTGGGGGTGCAACTGGGACAGTCACAGACCAGGTCCCCTTCCGGGAGGGTCTGAAGTTCCCACACAGTCAGGCTCAGGGCTGCGTCTGCTTGGGGTGGGCAGTCAGGGAGCTTGTCCTGACCCTGCATTACACAGCAAAGTATAAGTGTCACCTATTACTTGGGACGTTGGGGAGCCCTGTGACACCTCCAAATAGCCTCGTGGCCCTGCCTCTGTCCTTGCTGTCGGGGGGGGGTGGCAAAGAAATTCGTTGAGGGGAAAGCTATTAAGTACGGAGTCTTTAGTATTTCGAACACATTTCCCTGTCGAATGTTTTCATGGAACAAACCCGCAGGCAGGACATTTTTATTCAAGCATTTACTGTTTTGCAAGAAGGAGCTTGAGCGGCACCGTTGAATCATAACAGTAGCTGACACCGAGTCTGTGGTGACTGCGGTCACATCTTGTAAATAAATTCATTTGAGCCTCATAGCAACACTGTGAGATGGGTATCATCACCCCGCGTTACAGATAAGGCAGCTGAGGCCCCAAGGGAAAAAATCCTGCCCGAGCTTGCCTGCTGCGCAGGGGGAGCAGGACCTGAGTCCGGGCAGGCAGGCCCCTGGTTCCCACCCTGACGCCCCAGCTGTGGGGTCCCTGTGCAGGACCCTGCAAAGAAGTGTAATTTTGCACTGTCGAGTGGTGGGGGGAAGGGCATGAGCCAGGAGTGCTGAGGGGGCACTGTGGGCCCTGCCCCAGGCTTGGGGGGTGGGGGGTGTCAGGGGAGATGGGAGAGATGGAGGTGCCCTGTGCTTAAGGGCGCAGGCTCCGGAGCCAGGCTCCCTGGTACCCACCTGCCACCTCCCAGCCATGTGAGGGTAAACAAGTCCCTCTCTCTCTCTGAGCCTTGGTTTCCCCATCTGTAAATGGGGGTCATAGAGCACCCCCCATGTACGGCCCCATATAGTCAACACAATGGATGCATGGATAAACCGAACGGGTAGGTCCAGGCAATAGAATACTTTTTGGCCATAAAAAGGAACAAAGTGTTGGTACCTCCTACCACAGGTGAAACTTGAAAATATCCTGCTAAGTGGAAGGCCACAGTATTGTAGACTCCATTATATGATGTATGCAGAATAGGACATGCATTGAGAAAGAAAGTCGGTTAGTGGTTGCCAGGAGCTGGCGGGAGGGGGGCTAAGGAGTTACTGCTTAGTGGGCAAGAGGTGTCTTTGTGGGGCGAGGAAACTGTTCCGGGCGGAGGTTGTGTTACTGGACAGGGACCTGGCCCTGAGCGGGTCTGCCAGCCGGCAGCGTGTGGGTTCTTTGTGTAGGAAACATGTCACAACACCAGTCCAGGTGATTGTGAAAGCTTGTTAACGCTCAGGCCGGTGAAACAAGGAAGGGCTTAGCATAGAGGAAGCCACAGGAGAGCCCAGCCGGGGCTGCCTCAGCTCCCTGGACAGTCAGAGAGAAGGGGGCCTCGGGGACAGGCGTAGGGGACTAGCCTGGGATGAGCCGCCACTGCCCACTGCTCCCCTGGTTGCAAGTCTCAGGGGGACCCTTAGAGCTTAGGAGACGCATGTCTGTGGGGGAAGAAGACGGAAGAGAATGGCCGGGGCTGCTCCCCAGAGGGAGAGCTCTCAGGCCGGGTCCTTTGTCTTGAGTTTTTCTCTCTCTTGCAGGTGGAATCTTAGGGGAGGGTTCAGTAGACTAGTCATCAGTGCTCCAGGGGTGCCCTTCAGGGTCCTGGTCTCCTCTGATTGGTCAGCACCAGGGCAGGGGGTTGTCAGTCACTGCAGTGGGTCCTGGGGCCGCCCACCTGGTTTGACTGCTTTTCTGGGCCTGGAGCCGAGATACAGCTGAGGCCTAGGTGTTACCTCCAGGGAGGGGAGCTGCCGCACCTGGCCGTAAATCACGTGTGTTCAGCTCTCTGCCTCAGTTTCCCTACTCCACAGGCCAAGGAATTTTCCTAGCTTCTCACTCCTCTGTCTCAGTTGCATAACCTTTGTAAAATGTACTAATGGTGAGTTTTATGTTGTGTGCCTTTTACCAGAAAATGAAAACGCACACAACTCTCAGCTACCACAGCCATTTCCTACAAGAAATGATGACTTAGGAACATGACAAAAAAAAAGGAAGGACCTCTGTGCCCACTGTCCCCAGTGGCTGCCTGTGCCGCTGCCTGTGCCAGCCGGGCAGGCGGCCTGCTCCCCGAGGCAACACCCTCAGATCGCTCCCTGGCCTGGCCCATGGGGGGACGCGTTTACATGGCTTTGTGTCTCGCACAAAAGGCCCGTCAGGTTGAACTGCCTGGGAAATCCATCTGTGGAGTAGTGCTTTCCCCAAGGCAGCCCTGGTAGGCAGAGTTTTGCAAACATTTACAAATAACTGGAACAAAGGAGAGGCCCCAACAATCTCCAGGGAGGTTTTTAGAGTGAGGTGAACTTTATAGTATCTCCTGTTCTCTCTCCAGAAACATGGTCACCCCGTCCTTCCTTCATATGGAGTGCCTACTATGTGCCAGGCACTAAGCTGCACAATGCACACAGTATTTCATGTCAGTATCAGCCAGCCTGCTTGATTGTTCAGTCCTTCAATGAACTTGTCAATCAAGTCCATTTCACGTGCAGTCAATTGCAACACCTGTCAATCGGGTGTTGTTATTAATCCCATTTAAACACAAGAAACTGAGGCCCAAGAGAGGGGAGAGGGGTTGGCTGGGGTCGCTTGATCAGATTGTGTCAGAGCTGGCATTGGAGCCCACGTCGGCCCGCTGGCCGGGGCCGCGGACTGAGTCAGCCTCTCGCCCTGACCCCAGCGGACCTGTACTCGGAGGAGCCCGGGGAGGAGGAGCCGGCCTGGGTGCAGACCGAGCGGGAGCAGTTCCGGGACTTCCGGGATCTGAACAAGGACGGGCGGCTGGACGGCAGCGAGGTCGGCCACTGGGTGCTGCCCCCGGCCCAGGACCAGCCGCTGGTGGAGGCCAACCACTTGCTGCACGAGAGTGACACGGACAAGGTGCTGGTGGGGCCGCGCAGGCGGCTCTGGGGGGTGGGGCGGGGCTGCGGGCTGGCGGCCGAGAGCCCCTGTTTGGCTGGAGAAAGGCGGGGAGAGGCCAAGAGATGGGCTGAGGGATGGGAGGCACAGAGGTCTCGAGAAGAGGACCAGGGACCTGCAGGGCCAAGCTTAGGTTCAGAGGTGGAGATGGGTTTCACATGCAGGGGACCGAGTCGTCCCTGCTGACCTCTGACCTTCTGCCCAGGACGGGCGTCTGAGCAAGGCCGAGATCCTGGGCAACTGGAACATGTTCGTGGGCAGCCAGGCCACCAACTATGGCGAGGACCTGACGCGTCACCACGACGAGCTCTGAGCCTCCGCGCCCCGCCACAGCCGCGCAGCCCCGTGGGATGATCTGAGGGGCCCCAGTGCCCAGGTCGCCCCTCCATGTCCAGACGTGCCCGACGTGGACACAGACCGTGGTGTCCCCTGCCCCTGGGCTCCCTGGGCCCTACGTGGTCAAGTCCTCTGCGTGAGGCCCCTCAGACCTCCCCACCGCGCCCCAGGAGCTCTCAGGGGCCCGAAGAGTGAGGGCCCACCCCTTTCTCCCTGGCAGGACCTCCCAGCCCAGTCCACGGCTCCCCGCACCGAGCTCAGCCTCCAAGAGCCTCGGCGAGCCCCAGAGCTCCCAATCTGAGCCCCACACCGCAGACAGGAAACACGCCTCGCCCACGCCCACGCGTGCCCACAGGTGCCACCCCCAGGACGCCTCCGCTCTGCCAGGGAGGCAATAAAATCCGGTGCTGGGGCTTATCTGCGTGTCTCTCTGAAGGGGTGACTGAGGGAGCCTGGGGGAGGAGTTGGGGGCTGTGGCTGGGAGAGGAGCATGCTGGGAGTTGGGGGGCCTGCGGGCTGAAGGAGGAGACAGCATCTGCAAAGGGGGTTCTGCGTGTTGATGGGGTGTGAGGGCGGTCCTGGGGGTGAAACAGGGAACTAGCGGCCCGGACCTAGCAGGGAACAAGCCAGAGAGTTCTGTCGTCTGTATAGCAAGTGATGGCAGCGCGGTCCATCAGTGGCAGGGAAGCCCCTCGGGGCGAAGGACTGGGCGGCGGTCCAGGCAGCGGGAACAGTACGTGCAAAGGCCCTGCTGTGGCAGTGGGCCTGGCGTGTGTGTGTGTGTGTGTGTACGTACCAGCAGGGAGGGCGGTGTGGCTGGAGTGGAGTGAGGCAGGAGGAGAGGGTGGGACGTGAGGGCCAAGAGGGAACCAGGGCCAGGTCGTCGTGGTCCCAGTTTGATGGGACAAGATAGAGGCAGAGACCCAGAAACAATGGAACGGAATTTCCTCTCTGAGCTGGAGGGTCCTGAGCAGAGGACGGATGTGCACTGACTTGGGCTCCAACAGTCTGGGCTGCTGAGTGGAGGCAGGGGCAAAAGGATGAGCGCGTGACAGGCGTGTATCCCTCCCGCAGTTTCAGGAAGCCCCTGGTTGAATCCTCTAGAGTCGAACATGCCTAGTCTGTCCCAGCGATTCCACTCCTGGTAGCTCCCGCATGGAAATAAAAGAAAGTCACCAAAATAAAGTTTGCAGCAACTTTAATCATAATAGTCCCAAACTGGAAACAACCCGCCTGCTCACCCACCGGAGGGGTAAGTGCATGGTGGGGCCGTCGGCCAGGGAAAAGCACAGCAAGGGGGCGGGGGAATCGCCAGGCGCCCCACCCCCGCGTCCCCTGCCACTGGCACGGAGGGCTGTCACGAAGGTTCTACTGAGCAAAAGGAGCTGGACCCAGAGGGTTGAATGTCGCGTGATTACATTGACAGGAAATTCAAGAGCGGACAAAACTAAATGAGGGACCAGAGGTCAGGCTGGTGCCCCCCCGCTTTTGGGAGGGCTGCCGTGCAACTCAGGCAGGTTCTGGGGGCTGCACCTGAGCTGGGAGCTTCGCTGAGGGGGTAAAAATTCACCCAGCTGCCCACAATGTGTCCACTGTTACGCATAGTACACTTCCCGGTTTGCTTTCAAAAAGTCCCCCTGACTCTTAGGGCAGTGAAAGGGTTCCGTGAGATGCTTTAATGATGGGTAGATGTTATTTCATATTTGTCACAACCCGTAGAATGTAGCAAAGAGTGGACCCTTAATACCTATGCACTTCGGTTAATAATACTGTGTTAATACTGGCTTACCAATTATAACAAAGCACCACATTAATGCAAGATGTTAATAATAGGGGAAAGTGGGAGTGGGGTAAAGGGGTCTATGGGAACTCTGTACTTTCCACTAATTTTTCTGTAAACCTAAAATTGCGCTTAAAAGTAAAGCTCACTAAACACAGCACAAGCAATTATGATAGAAAAAATAAATCCCCTTTATATGTTAAGTCATAGACTGCCCCCCCCCCATATTTGATGATTTTTGTTTTCCTTCTGGGAGGAAAAGAGATGGAACTAACACAGGATGAGACTGTGCACCTACAGACCGGTCATTTTCAACTGGTGTGCCACAAGGACTTTTAAAATGTGACTATTAGTTGGGGCCACTGACTTCTTTTACTTTAGATTGTCAAATTAAAAACTGACCACAGCCAACACAATAGCCATCTGGTGTGAATCAATCAAGATTATACCTTTTATTTTTATTTTTTAGTCAGATCAGCGAAAAATATATTTCTTGGTGTGCCTCAGAACTATAGTAACTAGTTTACGTGTGCTATGAGACGAAAGAGGTTGAAAATTGCTGCTATAGACCAATGTCTTAAGAAGCGACATCTTATTAAGTCTTCCAATCCATGAACATAGTATATCTTCCCATTGATTTAAGTGTTGAAATCCTCTTGGCAATGTTTAATGTTTTGTAGGTTTCAGGGTGAAGTCCGTATATCTTTTGTTAAATTTATCTCTAAGGATGTTTATACTGTTGTAAATGAAGTTTTTTTACTTTCATATTCCAATTTCTTGCTTCTAGAATATAAACATACAATTCTTTGGGTTGGACTCAAACTGTAATCTCTGCCTCTCCTGTGAAGTTTCAGCTTACATTTCAGTTCACTGTTTTTAGGTTTAGTTGGGCTTCTTATAGTGTACCCCCTGCTTCTGGTTCAGGGTCAGGTAGATAGTTGAACAGCTAGATATAAAATATTTGGGATAAACCCTCTCTGGCTCTCTCTTCCAGATTTTATATCTCTTTCCTGTTGCTGTAGTGCTTCAAGCTAGGAAGCCTGAGTTTTCCTTTGGTGTTTAGCTGCCTCTCATGGCAGGGACTAGAACTGCCTCAGGCTGAAAGCTGTACAAATGAGAAACTCCTCACCCACTGCCTTTCCTTCTTCTGAGTTTCAATTCCCATCCCGTTTCTGCCTGTTTCTGTCCAATTTCCAGTGAATTTTTCTTTAGTTAATTTTTCTGTTTTATTCAGAGTTTTAAGTATTATCCCTGGGGAAAGTTGGAATTTGAATCCAAATGTGTGACTCCAAGCTTTTAGTTTTGGTAACATATTGCCCCCTAGTGGCTGAATGAGAATTGGTGTAGGAAGAAGTAAGGCAAATTTGTGATTTTCGTAAAAATTAAAATAATCACACACAGGAACAAATTACTTGCAGAGAACAACTAATAAAGGTAAGCTTCCCAGCACCTTGTCAACCTTAGGGGTTTTCCCCAGAAGTATTTTTAAAATCTTTTGCACAAATCGGTTATTTAAACATTTTGGCAATATACTCAAAACACAAAATTCTAAATATACAAGATGCTATATACTACAAGTGAAGTCTGCCACCCCAGCCGGTGTGGCTCCGTTGGTTGGGCATTGTCCTGAGAAACGAAAGGCCACCTGGGTCGCAGGTTCAGTCCCCTGGGGCATGATGGTTCTTACCTTCTTTCTCCCTCCCTTACCCCCTCTCTCAACCAAAAGTAAAATATTTAAAAATGAAGTCTTCCTTCCACCAAGTGCAAATGTAGCCAGTGTTCCTTTCCAGAATGAATTTACACAGACTTAAGTAAATATACACCAATTCTTCTTCTTTTAATAGATATGATAGCAGATGGCTAAAAATATTTTTATGTTTTTTTAAAAAAAATGTTAGTTTTCCAAAGGATTATTTTTTTAAGATTTTATTTACTTATTTTTAGAGAGAGAAGGAAACATTGATGTGATCGGTTGCCTCTTGCACACCCCCAACTGGGGACCTGGCCTGCAACCCAGGTATGTGCCCTGACTGGGAATCGAACCAGCGATCTTTTGGTTCATGGGACAATGCCCAACCCACTGAGTCACACAAGTAAGGGCCTGTCTTGTTTTTCTTAACAATACTTTTTTGAGACAAAATCCTCCAATTTTATTAAAAAAAAAAAAAAATCCTCACCTGATATGGTTATTGATTTTAGAGAGAGAGGAAGGGGGAGAAACATCAGTGTGAGAGAGCAACATCGACTGTTGCCTCCTGTACGCACCCCAACCAGAAATTGAACCCAAAACCCAGGTATGTGCCCTGACCAGGAATCGAACCCTCAGCCTTTTGGTGTACAGGACGACACTCCAACAGACTGAGCCAGCCAGCTGGGGAAGAATCCTCCGATTTAAATGTACTTCTTAAAATTGAGGTAATTAAGACTACATTTTGAAGACTATTTCAATTCAGTCCATAACGTCTTCATTTCCTTTGTCTTTTTTTAACAGCTGAGTTATGCTCCCCTAGATAGATCATTTAACCTGTTCTTTCCTGACCAACATTGAGGTTGTTTCTTGTCTTATATGAATGATGCTGCGTGGAAGATGCTTGCACATGTCATGTAACCACAACAATCAAGATACAGGACTGTTCCCATTGCACCGCCCCCCCCCATCCTCACGCCAACCCATCCTTTGTAGTCAAATCCCCCTCCTCTCCCGGCAACCAAGGATTTGCTCCCTGACCCTATGGTTTTTCTTTTTCCAGAATAAATCTCCCTATTTAAAAACCTTAACAAGTAATTGCAAGGGTCTTTCTTATTTCTATTTTTTTAATCCTCACCCAAGGACATTTTTTTCAATACTTTTGAGAGAGAGGGGGAGGGAGAAACATTGATGTGAGAGAGAAGCATCGGCTGGTTGCCTTCTCATAGATGCCCCAACCAGGAACCGAAGCCACAACTTGGGCAGGAGCCCTGACCGGGGATCAAACCTGTGACCCTTTGGTCCACAGGACGATGCTCCAACCAACCGAGCCACGCCGGCCAGGGCAGTGATTGCAAGGGTCCTCAAGTGCTGCCGCTGAGGCCGCAGCCACGGGAGGCACACCCCCTCCTTCTGCTCTCAACCTCAGACCAGTGTCTAGGGAACCTCTGCTGAGAAAAGGCAAGATTTGTCTCCATTTCCTGTCTCTGGTGCGGTGCCACTCTTGCTTCCTCTTCTTGTTAAGCCTGAAACCTTAGGGAGCCTGTTTTTCGGAACGAGGACCTCCACACACACACCCAGCCCCTTCCCGCGAAGGGCCTGCACCGGAGAATAGATGAGGTGAATTTCGGTTCCACGAGGGAATAAAAGATGCCAAGGTGGAAATCCTTGAGGTGGTTTGGGGCATCAGGGGTGGTGTGTGCCACACAGAAACAAGATTGGAGCCCTTGAGGACTTGTGAGAAAAAGCTAGAAGAAGTCAGGGGTGGCTGAGGGTGCTTGGGAAAGAGGAGGGTGAGGGGGTGTTCCGGGTAATGTGCGTAGACACCCCTGTCCTAAGATGGGGGCAAGGATTCAAGGGGACTTTAGGTTGACGGGTCCAGATGGCCAGGGCTCTGTGCAGGTTAGGGCCAACTGGGCCAGTGTCCAGGGACTGGGACCCAAGAGTGGGAGGGCCCTTAGGGGCCAAGGAAAGGTTCTAGAAGCGTCTAGGGGAGCAAACATTGGGTTTGGGGGCTTTCGAAGGCACCACAATGACCCGACCCACCCTCCCTCCTACTAAAGCCTTTCCCTGCAGCCCATGCGCCACCCTGTCCTCCGTGGGGTGGGGAAGGGGAGGCTGGACCGAACAGCAGTCAGGGACACTCCCTGGTCTTTTGATTTGACACCTGGACATTAGAGAACACACCCTTTTACCAAAATGATGAGCATCAATATCTCACTTTAGTTGACAAACTGTGTGCGTGCCTGTGGAGAAAGGCCTGGAAGGACAGGACCTAGGGGTCAGTCAGGAGGCAGGAATGTTAAGTCTTCGCTTTTTCTGCCTTTGCCTGACTGGGTGTCCGAGTGTCCCACGCTGCCCAGGGGGCTTCTGTGATCCAGCGGGTACAGAACACAAAGCCTGCTCTGCTAGTCCAGCCAGAACTCCACGCAGGTCTACCAGGTGCCGCCGCTGACTTCTCCTCCCACCCTCTCCCCCTCACTTGCTCTGCGCCTCCCCTGCTCCCCCCCTCCCCCCGCCCCCGTACTTGCTGCCTCTGCTGCCTCGGGGCCTTTGCACTTGCGGTTTCCTTTCCCCTCCCCGCCTGCGGTGGGTGCTGGGGGAGGGCTGTTCCTGGCAGCCGCCAGACTGGTTGCCTGTTGCTCCCCCAAAGAGCGCTACTTCCTCTGGGTGTGTTTTCACACTCGACTCTGGGGGAGGTGTTCCTGGGCATGATGCAGGCTTCGAATTTGGTAACTCAAAAGGATGCGAAGGGGGTCCTATTTAGCCTGTCACCACCTTCACACGAGGCGGCTGGGACTTCGACCTCTGGCCAGTCTTAATCACTTTGAATCCTGTGCATTTGCATTCAACCCAGATTTTACTCTTAACCTGCGACCACATTAAATACTCTCAGCTGACACTTTCAAACTCTGAGTCATTCCAGCACGGCCGCCGCCACCAGGCTGGCCGAAGGTCCCCGGGGCTGCAGCGGAATGAAGGCGCGGCGCGGGCCCGTCGCTTCGAAGCCCTTTATTAGGTCTCCCGGCTCTCAGGCCTGCATCACGGGCCGCGACTTCTCGGCCTGCAGCTTCACTCCGGAGCCCGCAAAGCCCGTGCCGCCCTGGGGGAGGGGGGACGGGGGGAGGTGAAGGCAGCTTGCCTGCACGGGTGGAGCGTCCTAAGCCGGCAGGTGAGACAGAAAGGCCTGGGGCAATGGGGTGGGTCTTCGGGGGGGCAGGGCAGAGTCCTCGGGTAGGAGTGGGTGGGGGAGCATTGGAGAGGGGACGGGGCGGAAGGCACGGTGGAGAGGGCCCTACTCACCCGCTGCAGCACGATTATGTCGCGGTCTGTGAGCTTCTCCCCATTCACTGGGTCCACCATGTCCTTCCGAATCAGCTTCTCCACGCACTCCAGGGTGACCACGGCCCCACTGGGGCGGGGGGGAGGGCGGGACCGCGATCAGAGGCCCCGCCCCCGAGCGGGGGAGAGCCACACCCCCTGGCCTGCTCCCCGCCCCCTCGCATGTAACCACGTGTGCCCTCCCACAGGTGACTCACGAGGGCCGCAACACGGCGCACGGCGTGGCGTTGCTCAGGCTGTCGCGGGTCACAGCGCACACGTAGCGCTCACTGCGTGTGATGAGCCCCACGCGGTCCACGGAGCCGTCCAGAGGCGTGAAACGCACCGGCGTCAGGTCGGACATGCGCAGAGGCTTTCCGGACATGGGGCAGGTCACAGTGCGCGACTAGGAGAGAGGGAGAGGCAGGGCTGGGGCAGCGACAGGCCCATGGGCGCATCCCCGGGAGGGCGGGGAGGGTGCCCTCGGGAAACGGGCAGAATGGGCTCAGGGGCGCTTGCTGGGCGGCTCACCGGCTTCTCCAGCTTGGTGGCTTTGGCCTCCGGCGTCAGCGACGGGATCCAGAAGCTGGGCAGCATTTTGTCCTTGTCCTTGTCTTTGCCTGCGGAGCCGGCACTGGGGCCGGGTTGGGCATCCTCTACAAGGGGCAGAGGGGCTCCGATGCTGTACCTCGGTAAGTACCTGGCCCTGCGGCCCCCTGCCCACTGGCAAGCCCGCCCCCTCTCACCTGAGCCAGTCCCGGAGGCGGCCTTGGGCGTGAAGGGGTTGAGGGGCCGGCTCACGATGGCCCCCTCCTTCTCCAGGAAGCCCCGCACCTGGTCCTGCGACGCCGCGCGCTGCAGCTCTTTCTGCTCTTCCCGCCGGGCGCTTCGCTGCTTCTCGTAGGCCTGCGGGGCCGCCAGCGACCAGTGAGCGAGGCAAAGGGCCCGCGGGGCTCTGCTGTGAGCTCCGCGCCGGAACCGCCCCCACACCCTGCGCGCCCTTCCTCAGCCTCATCACCTTCATCTGCCGGGCGATCTCCTTCTTCTGGTGCAGGATGTACTCCAGGATGGCCTCCCGCTCGTACAGGTAGCCGTCTGGGCTGCAGTGAGAGGGAGGGAAAAAATGAGCGTCTGGCCCAGGCCACTCAGCCAGGGGCTCATAAGCACAAGCCAAGCCCTGGCCCGCTGCCCCGGGCACCCGCTGACCATACCCCGGGCGGCGGCTCGCCCAGTGCTCGGTTTGTTAGCTCTCCCGGCCGCTGACACGCTAGGACGGTGGGAAGGATCCCGTTGGGCGAAGGGTCAGTCAGCGGGCCTGGGCTGTCCAAACCCCGCACAGCCCAAAGGACTGGCCCTTGATGGGCTCCTGGGAGGGAACCTCTAAGCCCTTGGGAGTGTGTCCTGCCTGAACCGGTGTCTTTGTTCACCTTGGAGGATGGGGGGAGGGGAGGGGGACTTGGGAGTACGGTATCAACACGGTCTTTGGAGGGACTGGAGACCAAGGTCAGCCGCATGGTGGTCTGTCACGTCCACGGGACTGACCCCCAGTAGAAACCCTGGACCCCAGGGCTCCGGCGAGCCTCCCTGGCGGGTGGTGCTCCATGTGAGCCGTCACACATCGCTGCCGGAGGGCTGAAGTACGGCTCCATGGGAGGGATGGCCAGAAGCTCGCCTCTGGCGTCTCCTGGGCTCTGTGCCCTGCGTCTTTTCCCATCGCTGGTTTGAACCCGTACCCTTTCACTATAATAAACTGTCACTGTGAGTCTAACATCTTTGCGGAGCCCTTCTAGGCCGCGGCGGTGTCCCCCCTGCGGCCCAGGCTAGCTGTGAATGCGGCCCAACACAAAATCGTACATTTACGTAAAACACGGTGAGTTTTTTTGTATGTGATTACGTGCTGCAGCGTATTTAACGTGTGGCCAAGGACAACCCCTCTTCTTCCCAGTGTGGCCCAGAGATGCCAAAAGGTTGGACACCCCCGTCTAGGGAATCAACGAACCAGAAGGTGCCGCAGGGACCCCGGGCCAGTCTACTCTCATCACTGCCTCTATTAAATAGTCCTGGAAGGGGACACATACTCAGTCAGCGGACTAACTCCCTCATACGTAAGATCTCATGAAGCCTCTGCTAGGTCCTAAGAGGCAGGTGACGCACGGTACGGGCTCCACGTGTGAGCTGTTGTCGGGGGCCAGGCGGCGTTCCCAGAGCCCGCCCCTCTATTCCCACACTGCACCGGGAAACAGCAGGCTCCTGCCATCTCTCAGACGGGGACACTGAGAATCCGACAGGTTAGAGGCTCACCCTCAGCACTCTGGCTGTGCAGGTGGCCAGCCCCGCTCCTACAGACCCCTCCATGGGGTCCCCTTGCCCTCGCCACCCACGGCCCCAGCTCACGTGACGACGGGGTCGTGGCAGGGCTGCAGGGAGAGGCAGCAGCAGTCGAAGTCCTTGACGGCATCCCGGCTCAGTCGAATGTTCTGGGTCCCGTAGCCTGAGGCCGCTGGGGACAGACCAGAAAAGGGATGGAGAGGCGGGAGGCATGGCTCTCTCCGGACTTTGAGAGAGGGGCAGTCAAGAGTGCGCCGTGGATCTGTGGGTCTCAGTGCTGGGGGCAAGGGCTGCTCAACCCACAGGAAGGCGTTCATCCCCCGGGGATGGGCGACAGACTCCCCTAAAGCCTTTCTGGCTCTACCCGAGCTCAAGAGCCTCAAACTGTCCGGGACTCCATTCCTTCCTCGGGAATATTGCTACGGCGACAGCGACCCCTTCCGTGGGCAGATTAGAGGAGCTCCCTGACTGAGGCGCTAGCGCAGCGCCCATCGCATGGGATGTGGGGACAGGGCTGCTGGAGCGTGTGGCTGATGTGGTCAAGACCACCAGTCAGGGAAGAGAGTCATGCAGAGGAGCCGAGTGAGGTGGTGACTTCGGGACACATTTGTCCCCCTGCCAACCCAGTACCTGTGTCCTTCTTCTTCTCGTGGTAGGTGTAGACGGCCCCGGCCGTGCAGTTCTTGCCATGCCGCGTCATCCTGGGGGAAGGAGGGCAGGTGGAGGGGCTGCAGTGGCCACAGGGAGCCCGCACAGGCCGAGGGGCTGGCCTGTGCCCCAGAGGGGGAAGCTGGCGGCGGGGCAGGGGAGGATGGCGTTACACACGTTAAATGCTTAAGAAAGGTCTACACATTCCAGAAAAGAAACATCCCTGTTCCTTGAAAAAGACCTGAAGTTTGCTTGTAGGCATGGGTGTCGGCTGGGGGTGCGCCTTATGAGTTAGTGTGAGGTTGTAGAAGGAGCTAGTTTAAATCTGATGGAAAGGTCTAGCACCCAGTGTGAATGGGCGTGGCTCTGCACATGCCAGGCGGGGTCCCAAGGCACCTGGCCAATGTTCAGGGCGCACATGCACGTGTGCTTTGTCTGCCTACGTGCTCAATTCAACTGAGTGCAAATTTCTGGGGTCACCCAGTCTTTCTCGTAGGTGAATTCACACATAAGCAAAGGTGAAACCTGCTTCACGCTCACGTCTATCCCTAATGTTTCAAAACAAGCATCAGTAGAACTGAGTGTATGTGTAACTCTGGCAAGTCTGCATGAAAAAGCCCAGCTGCCCTGGCTGGGTGGCTCAGTTCGTTGGAGCGTCATCCTGCACACCCAACGGCCGTGGGTTTGAGTCCCAGTCAGGGCCCGTGCCTGGGTTGCGGGTTTGATCCCCAGTCGGGGCACGTACAAGGCAACTGATGGATGTTTTTCTCTTTCACCCATCTTCTCCCTCTGAAATCAATACACATATCCTCGGATGAGGAATAAAAGAAAAAAAAAAAACACAACAGCTACCCAATAGGAAAACCAGCAAAGAATATGAAGAAGCAACTGACAGGAGAATCCCAAAGACTAACAAGGGTGTAGAGAGGTGCTCAAATTCTCCTCAAGTGAAAACCCACAGTGAGATACCACTGTACGCCCATCACCAGGCCGGTGGGCCTGGGTCAGTCATGGGAGCCCTCGGGTCACACTGGGCGAAGAGTGGCCCGGGTCAGCCACCTCGGAGCAGCCTGCCAGAACTCCAGCAAAGTGAGCGCGGGCACTTCTGCGCTAGGGTGTCAGGGTGTCTGTGCCCCAGAGTCGTTCCCAGGGACGTCCACAAGGGAGCAAGTTCACAGCCGTGTTAGTCCCACTGAAGGGGAGTCACGGGCCGCTGAGTGTCCCTGCCTCCCTGGGAGGATGCATAGTGACTGTCTGTCATGGAGGCTACCCAGCCGTGAGATGCAACTGACTAAGTGTTTACAAAGAATTGTAGGTAGATCTTAAAAACAACGCTGGGTGAAAAAAGTAAGAAGTACAAGGAGGTCACTAACAATCTACATGTGCCAAAGTGATACATTTTAAAGAATACTACAAACAAAAGAATCGCGCATATTAGAACGGCTGCCCCTGCATGGAGGGGACTGACTAGGGGATAAGCAAGAATAAGTAAATGAAATAGGAGGGTGCTGTCCTGGCTGGTGTGGTTCGGTGGACTGAGCGTAGGCCTGCAAACGGGAAAGTCGCTGGTTCGATTCCTGGTGAGGGCACATGCCTGGGTTGCGCGCCAGGTCCCCAGTTAGGGGCTCACAAGAGGCAACTAGTCGATGTTTCTCTTGCATATCAATGCTTCTCCCCCACTCCTCTCCGTATAAATAAATAAATAAAAACAAAAAGAGGGCTCTATGGGTCAACATGTGGAGGATTATACAACATGACCTGCGTGGGCTTGAGTCCAAGGTTGGCCACACACTCACGTGTGACTCTGGACTGGTGACCTTTTTCTTTATCTTCAAATTATTTTATTTCTTTACCCTCGCCTAAGGATATGCCCACTGATTCCAGAGAGAGGGGAAGGAAGGGAGACAGAGAAAGAAACGTTGATGTCAGAGAGCCATATCAATCGGTTGCCTCTTGTAAGTGCTCCGACCGGGGATTGAACCTGCAACCTTTTGGTGCACCGAACGACGCTCAACCAACTGAGCCACCCGGCCAGGGCAGGTGATCTTTTTCTGAGCCTCAGTTTCTCTTGGTAAAAAATGGGGACAGCCAGGGACCTAGCAGATGGGACTGGCTTGCTGTGAGAACTAAATGAGGTCATGCTCAGCACTTGGCACCCGGGGTGCTCAGTATGCATTCTCTCTGGCTCTGATGTTAAGGAGGATCCAGAGGCAGAGGCGGAGGCGGGGTGGAATGAGGGTGGGGTAAAGGAGGCACATAGCCCAGGGCTCCCAAAATGTAAAAAGCAACTTTATCTTCATTTCCTGCTTCTGGTTACTTAAGGAAACTTGCTTTTCACTTTCAAGGCTTGAAACACGATCCTGTCTCTGAGCTATGGATCTCGCTCGCCCCCTACTGGCGTCTTCTCCCCAGAAGCCAATTTTTGTTTTGAGGTTTGTTTATGTGGAATAGGTAGGTGCACAGACCTAAAGGATGCAGTTTGATGTGTTTTGACAAACGCAGGCACCCTCGTAACCACCACCCCGGTCAATGCAGGGCATTGCTCTCACCCCAGACGTGGCCGCTGTCCGCTTGCAGAAGCGAACCTTGGTGAAGCACCTCAGCTGAACCCTCGGCCTCCGCCTCCCACGTCCCCTCACCCCCAAGCTTTTGAGCGAGTGTCCAGCACCTGCTGCGTCCCCTTGGCTCACTAGCCACGCGCTGCTCCGCCCTGGCCCCCTGGCTTCCGCCCAGCTCCCCAACTACCACTCATGAAGGTCGAGCTGACCTCCTCACGGACAAATTCCCCACGCTATTCTTAGTTGTCAACTGCCTTGATCCTCTGCGGTATTTGGCACTGAGCTGCTTGTCTTGTGGCCAAGAACAGGGCATTTCTGTGTTTTTGGCCTCACAGGCTAGGACATTTTTCCTCCGGGAGAGAGGGACAGCTGGAGAGGGAGCATTTTATTTTTTTTTAACCTGGCCAGCAACAATGGGAATAATCAGGAGGAAAGCCACTTGACCCCCACCACGGGCCGGCTCTCCGCGCCCCGTCTCGTCCATCACCCGGCTCAGGCACCCTCCGGTCTGCACGCCACCCTCTTCACTTTGTAGGTGGGCAAACTGAGGCTCAGAAGTGAAGCTCTTTGCCCAGGGCACTGGTTCTCAAAGGTCCCTAAGACACTTTCAGGGGGTCCACAAAACTTGTTTCCATGACTCTAAAACAAATTTGCCTGTGTCACTCTTATGCTGCAATGAGCGTCGAGTGACGTTCTCCAGAGGCTGTGTGATGTGTGAGGACGTCATCACTCTAAAGGCTAAGCAAATGCATGCTTGGGCATCCTTGGGTTTTGAAAATGTGTTATGCCCTCGGTGGTGTGGCTCCGTGGGCTGAGAGTTGGCCTACAAACCAAAAAGTCACTGACTCGATTCCCAATCAGGGCACATGCCTGGGTTGTGGGCCAGGTCCCCAGTGGGGCATGCGCAGGAGGCAACAAGTTGATGGTTCTCTCCCTCTCTTTCTTCCTTCTCTCTCTAAAAATAAATAAATCAAAATCTAAGATTTTGATTTATTTATTTTTAGAGAGAGGGGAAGGAAGGGAGAAAGCAAGGGAGACAAACTTGAATCGATTGCCTCTCGTTAACGTGCCGCACCCAGGGACTGAACCCAGGCATATGCCGTGACTGGGAATCGAACCAGTGACCTTCAGTTTTATGGGATGATGCCCAACCAACTGAGCCACATCGGTCAGGGCGAAATAAAATCTTTTAAAACACGTTTTAATGTCTGTTTTAATTCCTGATAGGGCGAGTCTTAACAGACAGAACTCAGACCAATAAAGGCTTGTTGGGAGCCCTCAGTGATTTTTAAGATCCCGAGACCAAACAGTTTGAGACCCACTGGCCAGGGGTCGAAGAGCTGCCAGGTGGCAGCGCCTGGATTTCAAAGCTCCAGAAGCTGAGCTTCCAGTCCCCAGGCTACCTGTCTCTTCACTGAGGCCAGTTTCAAAACAGAAAACAGAACTAGTGCCATCTGCTGTCACTAGTATTTCAGAGAGGACACACCAAAGCAATACCAGCTATTTTTTTTTTCATTTTTAAGACTTATTTTTTAATCCTCACCCAAGGATATATTTATTGATTCTAGGAAGAGAGGAAGGGGGAGAGATAAGGAGACAAAAGAAACATCAATGTGAGAGAGAGACATCGATCGGTTGCTTCCGATACGCGTCCTGTCTGAGGACCAAACCAGCAACGTAGGTACGTGCCCTGATGGGGATTAGACCCCACAACGTTTTAACGTACAGGACAACAGTCCATCCAACTGAGCCACTCAGCCAGGGCAACACCAGCTATTCTTTGCCATCATTCCCACTTCACAGGGAGAAAACAAGCTCAGAGAGTCAATCCCCCAGCTGGGAAGTGGCAGAGCTGGGATTTGAACCCAGGCAGCGAGGCTCCAGAGCAGCCCTCTTAACCATGTGACAACTATTAGTCCTCCCAGGAAAGTCACAGTCTGAGACTTCCTGTTTTCGTATGAAGTCTTCAAAATTCAGAGTGTATCTTATTCTTTGAACACATCTCCATTCAGACACCAAGTTTCCATTGGAGATACTTGTCCTTATTTAGGTTTCATAAAATGTACTGGTGCAGAGCCTGGCCGGGTAGCTCAGTTGGTTAGAGTCTCATCCAGCTACGCCAAGGTTGCAGGTTCAATCCCTGGTCAGGGTACATATAAGAAGCAACCAGTGAATGCATAAGTACGTGGAACAACAAATCGATGTTTCTCTCTCTTTAAAATCAATAAATAAAAAGTTTAAAAAAAAATGTGCTGGTGCAAACGTACATTCACGTACTCTGGTTGTTCCATAGTTAAAAGTTTTTTTAATAACTGAATCCAGTATCAGTGCTTAAATTCAAATGAAACAAAATGAAAGAATTTAAAAAGTCGGTCCCTCAGTGGCACTAGCCACATATCAAAGCGCCCCACAGCTCCTTGGGATTAGCGGCTACTGTACCGGAGCGTGACCAGCACAGCGCTCAGACAGACGGGCCTTTAAAAACATGCCCACACCACCATTAGCACATTAACAATTCCTTAACATCCTCCACTCTCCGGCTGGTGTTCAGGCTTCCCTGATTGTCTCCCAGCTGTCTTGTTTTTGCAGTTGGTTTGAATCCTGAACCCGTGGTTCTTAACTCTTTGGTGGGGTCAGCGGTTCCTTGGAGACCCTAAAGGAGCTACAAGCCTCTCTCCCTGGAAGGCCATCCCAGGGGGCGGAGGCCTCTGTGGTAAAGAAACTCAGAGGCCTCAGTACCTCAAAGGAAATCAGAGACAGACACGGAACCCGCTGAAAACAGGAGAGAATTCCCAAAGAGCAAAGGCAGCCTCTGGGATTTTCTATGAATAATGGCTGACATTTGTTCAAGAGGTTTGGTGAAGCTGGCCCTGTTTTAAGCGTTTTACATGTATTACCGCCTCCAAATTCCACAACAATGCCAATGGTTGCTACAAACAAGGAAACAGAGGCACAGAGAAGGTGCCCAAGGTCGTACCGGGGGCAGGAGGCAAGGGGATGGGGGGGAAGGTATTTAACCCAGGTATCCAAGCCTGGCTTTGAAGGTCACTGTGTCATCTGGCTACAGGCAGCCTGGGGCGCTGTGCTGGACTCAGCGTGGACCGGGACTGCTGGGGTGTGTCTGGTCCTCTCCCCTGAAAATCCGGTCTCCCTCCTCCCAGGCTCCCTGGGGGGCCTGACTCTCTGGGCTGAGTGAGCTGTTCCTTGAGCTCTGATAACACCCTGAGTTACCTCCATTTTAGCTACCTCCCCTCTGCATTTTCTCACTGGACCAGGAGCCCCTAGAAGGGGGCCCCAGTCAGGCTCCCATCTGGGTGGCAGCTTCCACCTAAGGGAAGGGGGTTGGGGGGCTCAGAAATGTCACAATGGGATCAATTAACTACTTCCAGTGCCAGGGGAAGTGAGTAATCAATGAATTGATCAGCCAACCAACCAATACATTTGTCACAAAACCACTGAAAGAATAGAAATGGCCCTGGCTGGTATGGCTCAGTGGATTGAGTGCTGGCCTGTGAACCAAAGGGTCGCTGGTTCAGTTCCCAGGCAGGGCACATGCCTGGGTTGTGGGCCAGGTCCCCAGCAGGGGGCGCTCGAGAAGCAACCACACATTGATGTTTCTCTCCCTTACCCCTAAAAATAAATAAATAAAATCTTTAAAAAAATAAAAGGAATAGAAATGATCACCATATCCTTCAAACAGTTATGTACTGGGTCCTGTGCAAAGCACTTGCCACATCTGAACGCACTCAGTCCTCAGGACAGCCACTGGAGGAAGGTTCTCCACAGTTTGTAGGTAAGAAAAAAGAGACCCAGCCTTGGCTGGGTAGCTCAGTTGGATAGAGCGTTGCCCTGATACTCCAGGGTTGCCAGTTCGATTCCCACTCAGGGCACATACAAGAATCAACCAATGAATACATAAATAAATGGAACAACAAATTGATGTTTCTATGTCTCTCTCTTTCTGAAATAAATAAAAATGTAAAAAAAAAAAATTTTAAAAGAAAACAGCCTTGGCTGGCTGGTGTGGCTCAGTGGGCTGAGTGCTGGCCTGTGACCCAAAGGGTGGCTGGTTAGATCCCCAGTCAGGGCACAGGCCTGTGTTGCGGGCCATGTCCCCAGTAGGGGGCGCTAAGGAAGCAACCACACAGTGATGTTTCTCTTCCTCCCTTCCTCTCTCTCTCTAAAAATAAATAAGTAAAATCTTTAAAAAGAAAACAGCCCCAGTGAGCATTTCAAAACGGAACTTTAAGTCACTCCCTTCAACTGCCTCTTGGACTTGGCTCAAGACAAAAAAACAAACTGCTCAGATTTTAAAAAGTAGGCAGAATGAGAAAATTGGAAAACCATCGTTTTGCAACCCCTGATGACACAGTCGGTCCAGGCAATGATTACTGATGGAAAAACTAATGGGAACCAGATACCCTCAGGGTGTTACAGCTTGCTAGTAGAAAGGAGAAAACTGTAGCTTTACAATGATGAGTTTGCATCGTTCCTATCTGTATCACTCAGCTGGGGCTGCCAAAGCAAAATACCATCGACTGGGTGGCTTAAACAACAGATGTTTATTTTCTCCCTGTTCTGGAAGCTGGAAGTGTGAGATCAGGGTACCAGTGTGGTCGGGGTCTGGGGAGGACTCTCTTCCGGGCTTGCAGACGGCTGGCCGCCTTCTCGCTGGGTCCTCATGTGATGGAAACAGTGCTCTCTGGCAGCACCTCCTCTTACAAGGAACTGACCCCATGGATTAGGACCCCACTCTTAATGACCTCATCTAATCTTTTTTTTTTCTTTTTTAAAGATTTTTATGTATTTATTTTTAGAGAGGGGAAGGGAGGGAGAAAGAGAGGGAGAGAAACATCAATGTGTGGTTGCATCTTGCGCCCCCCCTGCTGGGGATCTGGCCGGCAACCCAGGCCTGTGCCCTACACTGGGAGTCAAACCACCTGCGACCCTCTGGTTCGCAGGCCGGCGCTCAATCCACTAAGCCGCACCAGCTAGGGGCTCATATAACCTTAACTACTCCCATAAAGGCCCTATCTCCAAATAGTCATGCTGGCCGTGGCTTGGGCTTCAACACATGAACCTGGGGAGAGGGGGCAAACATTAAGGCCATCAACACTTTTTTTATTTGTTTTCAAATTTATTGATGAGAGAGCGAGAGAGAAAAACATCAATTTGTTGCTCCACTTATTAATGCACTCATTGGTTGATTCTTGTACATGTCCTGACTATCAACCCCGCAACCTTGGCCTGCCTCGACAATGCAGCAGCTGAGCTACTGGGCCAGGGGGATTCATCAAGCCTTTAGATTTAATTTCCTGTTTCTAGGGAGTCAGAGGATGTAGCAGGGGCTGTCAACCAAAAAGGGCCAGATAAGAAAGATTTTCAGCTCTGCGGGTCACATGGGGTCAAAACTATTTGACTGCCTTGTATGGCAAAAGCAGCTATGTGCACTATGTAAATGATTGGGCATGACTGTTCCAATAAAACTTTATGTACACTGACATCTGAATCACACAGATTTGCCACAGGGCACAAAATATCAGTCTTCTTTTCTCCTCACATTGATGTTTCTCTCCCTCTCTTTCTCCTTTCCTTCCCCTCTCTCTAAAAAATAAATAATAAAATATTTTTTTTAAATGAGCAAATTCTTGGAATAGACATTTCTCCAAAGAGGGTATACAAACGGTCAAGAAGCGCATGAGCTCTGGGTGGTGTGGCTTGGTGGATTGAGGGCTGGCCTGTGGACCAAAAGGTGGCCGGTTTGATTCCCAGTTGGGACGGACACATGTCTGGGTTGAGGGCCAGGGCAACTGATCAACGATTCTCTCCCTCTTTTTCTCCCTTCTTTCTCCGCCCTCTAAAAATAAATAAAACCTTTGAAAAAAACAAAACAAAACCAGCACATGAAAAAATGCTCTACATCACTAATCTTCAAGAAAATGCAATTAAAACCACGATGAGATACCAGTTCAGAGCCATTTAAAAAGACTAAAATAAAATATCAGATGATAACTGTGGAGAAACTGGAACCTCATACACCAAGGGTGGGAATGTAAAATGGAGTAGCCACTTTGGAAAAGTCTGGCAGTTCCTCAAAGGGTTGAACAAAGAGTTATCATTTGATTCAGCAATTCTACTTCCAGTGGAAATGAAAACGCGTTCACACGAACACTTGTATACAAATGTTCATAGCAGCATCATTATAATAGTCCAAAAGTGGAAACAACCCAAAGGTTCATCGACTGATAAATGGATAAACAAAATATGGTATATAAATCTCATACAAAGGAATATTATTCAACCATAAAAAGAAGTATTAATACATGCTACAAAATGGATGAACCTTGAAAACATTACGCTAAGAGAAAGAAGCCAGACAGAAAAATGAATCCGTTTATGCAAAATGTCCAGCTTAGGTCAATCCATAGAGACAAAGTAGATTTGTGATTGCCTGGGGCTGGGTGTGGGTGTAGAAAGGGCAGTGACAGCTAACGGGTGGTGGGTTCCGTTATAAGGGATGAGAATGTTCTAAAGCTGGCGATGGTGATGGCTGCACAACTCTGTGAATATACAAAAAAAAAAAAAAAAAAAAAGCCCACTGAATTGTCCACTTTAAATGGGCGAACTATATGTTAGGTGAATTATATTCCAATAAAGCTGATTTTTTTAAAAAAAAGGGAGGCCAGCAGGATTTGGGTTTGGTTTGCTGAATCCTGGCGTAGAGGAAGAAGTGAAACGAGATTACAAAGAAGCACAACGACAAACCAGATGATGGGATGATCCACAAAAATAACTGACCCAGTTTTTTCAATGAATCAATTATACCGTGAGTGGAGTGGAGGGGAGACTGTTCTAAATTAAGAGAAATTTGAGAGAAGACTAGATTATTGAAATCCTATCCCTTAGGAGCCCACGTCTCTAGCCGCGGGAAGGCGATCCCAGCAACACCTCCACCACCTGGAACTCACCTCACCAGCGACTCCTTCCTTATTCCTTCCTCGATTCTTCAACTGTGTCCCTACCCCGGAAGGGAGCGCTGTTTTCCCTCTTAGCTCCGCCCACTTCCGCGAGGAGACAGAAACCGGAAGTAGAGCTGCCCCTAGCTGCGGAGGTAAGTAATCTGGCTTGGTAAATCCTCCCTTTTTCTCTTCCTCCCTCCGGAAACGTGAGCGACAGATCGAAGGTTCCGGTTCGGGAAGCTAGCATGAATATGGGGCACACTTAATATCTACTAGGCATTTAGCGGGGCGGGCGATTTCCTGCTCGTATCCACAGCTTTGCGTCTCTCCAAGCCAGAGTTTGTGGACTAATCACTTCCCCCAGAAACTGGGAACCCGCTTCCTCAATTATATCCACTTTTCTTGTAATTGGGACGATTGAGAGGGGACAATTCCTCTGTCCCTATTTCATAAATAGAGCAATGGAGAAATCTCAAGTCAAAGCCTGTCAAATTATTCCAAGAAACAGAAATTTACTATGTCATACCCACCTACTTCTGGGGACCAAGGCATACAGTTCCTGCCAGTTTCTAGATATGCAGACATCTAGATACCTGGAGATCTAGACGTTTATTTCCCTAGCTCTGCTGGGCGAGCTCCCACTGGGGAAAGGGGAGGAGTGGAGGAGGAACCTATCCAGTTCCCTAAGTGTCCCACGGTGTCGGGGAACCTGGCCTCCCCCATGGGGTTCTGAACCTTAGGCCCTTCATCATAAGGTCCCTTTAAATACTTTGTCCCTTACCTGAGTCCCGCCCAGAGCAGGTAGTCGCAAACCCCGCCCCTCTGCCAGAAACCGCGATCGGGGAGGATTACAAGGAGCGGGAGCGGGGGGCACCCCTCCTTTCTCTTCCCTCCCCTCTCTCCTGCCCCTCTTCGCAGCTGGCCGCAGCTGGCCTAGGAGCCCCCGATTAAGGAGGAGGGGACAGTGCTCACAAGTCTGGGCAGGTAAGTGAATGTCCCTGGAGGCAAAGCCTGGTTTGGGGACCTTGTCTTCCTGGCACCTTGCCCCTCTGGGTCCTAAAAGTCAGGGTCCCCAAGCCCAGGAGTCCAAGGCACTGGACTCAAGAATTTAGACCCCTGTTATTGCCTCTCCTGTAATCTTTGATTTCTGTTGCTGGATGTGGCAATGGACAGAGAGACACACAGGTATGAGTGGGAATTACCAGGAAGAAAGGAATCCTGATCACCAATGGACATTTTTATGAGCACCTACTATGTGCCCAAACTGTACTGGGGGCTGAAAACACAGAGGGGAGAAAAGATAAGCTTCCTGCTTCAGTCTCTGGAGATACACGTAGCCTTTGCTCAAATCCTGCTTCTGAATCTTGCAAACCGTAAGACTCTGGGCAAGTTCTTCGACCTCTCTGTGCCTTAGTTCCCTCATCTATAAAATAAGGGTAATAATAGCATTGTTGTGAAAATTAAACTGAGTGGATGTAAGTAAACTACCTTGAACAGCATCTGGCCCAGATAAAGGCTACGGCAGTGTCTGCTATAATTGTTACAATTCACGGGCCACAGAGTCCAGGCAGGGAGAACTTCAGGGGCTGAGGCACTTTCATCTATACCACGCCTCATTCCAGGTGTCACGAAATATGAGGGGCAGGGGCCACCCCTCTCTGCTGCTGCTATACCTGGGGTTGACCACTTGCCTGGATACCTCGTCCAGTGGGGAGCAAGACCAAAGTGAGTATTTGGGGGAAGAGCTGGTGCCCAGGCTCTGACACCCATCTTCCCGTGACTCTGGACCCCTTGCCTCTAGTCCCCTCCAACCCTAGGTCCCCACAGCTTTCCTCCCCTTGGGCTCAGGTTCCTTCATGTCTCTGGTCCTCCATTTTTTTGTCTGTCCTGTCCTTTGGGCCCAGAAGTCTTCGTGGACTCCCCAGAGGCACAGAGCTTCCTGGGTAGCCATAGACGAGTTCCTCGAGCCAATCACTGGGATCTGGAGCTGTTCGTGCCCGGGAACCTGGAACGGGAGTGCTACGAGGAGAAGTGTTCCTGGGAAGAGGCACGGGAGTACTTTGAGGACAATACTCGGACGGTGAGGCTCTCGGAGTCCTGGAGTCCCTGTTTCTCCAGGACCTGGTTGGCGGGGAAGGGTCCTGGTCTCCAAAGGCTTCTACCCTCTTGTCTCAGAAATCTGGGTGGGCTGGTTGGGGTGCATAGAATCTCCCAGTTGACAGCTGTCTTTCCTCCTTCTCTACTCCCACCCCTTCAAGGAGCGCTTTTGGGAGTCGTACATCTACAATGGCAAAGCAGGTGAGTGGGAGGCCAAGCCCTGTTGTTCTGTGCAGCGAAGGCAGCCCCTTCCCATGGAGGCTGAACCAACACTCCCTCCCCAAATTCTCTGATTCCTGAGTTCCTGGAGGTGGCTGTTAAAAGTTTCCTCTCTTTGGAGACCAGCTGTGGGTCGGAGGAACCCACCCCATCTCGTTCCGAGAGATCCCATGTTTCCAGGAGGCAGGAAGTAAGGGTAGAGAAAGGAGTTACGGCCTGGGACCTCTCAGGCCTCCGACCCAGAGATGCTGGCCGCCTTGAGTCCCTCTTTGGAGTCCAGAGCCCCAGCCCCTTCTGCAGCTTGGTTGCTAGGGGAGCTGCTCCCTAGCAACTGCTCCAGTCTCCTGTGCCTCTTCACCTGACCAGTGTGCTCACCCTCAGACCCTCCTCTGAGTTCTGAGGCCCTGTCATGGCTACAACCTTGCTGCTCAGCGGGGGGAAGGGCTGCTCCTTAGCAACAGGGCCTGGCCAGACCCGGCCTAGGAAGCCTGCAGCACTCACTACCTGGCTGGCTTCCCCTCCCCCACAGCCCCATCCCAGCCTGGGCCTGGTTGCTAAGGAGGCTTTCTCCCTAGCAACCATACCTAGCCAGGCTCAGGACCCAAGGCCTCCTGCCCACCAGAAGACCCCCCTCCAGGCACCAGATGCCCCACCCCCTTGTGGCCTGGTTGCTAGGGGTGGATGTACCTTAGCAACAGGCCCTAGGTCTGGGCTGGAGTCCTCACATTGGAGCCTGGTTGCTAGGGGAGGTAACTGCGTTTCTACAGGCCTTTGGATGTCTGGTGGCTCCTTGAATCCACCTGAAACATGTCAGAGGGCCTGTCTCCTCAGTGCAGCTTTTTGCTAAGAAGGCGAAAAGACTGGGGTTTACTGTTTGAAGAAAGCCCCCTACCCACTGTTAAAGTTGGGCTCCCCAGCAGCAAGACCTAGCCAGGCCTCAGGAAGCTGGAGTCCTCCTTGCAGCCCCTGCCCCACCTTCCCCCAGACAGAAAGCCTTGGATTGCTGCAGGGGCTGCGCCTTAGGACAGGGGCCGCATGAGTTCTCGACACCCTAAACTCCTCCATTGATAAATGGTGTTTTTTTTTTAGCCTTCTGGTAAATTTTTTTTTTCCATTAAAAAAAAGATTTTATTAATTTATTCTTTAGAGAGAGGGGAAGGGAGGGAGAAAGAGGGAGAGAACCATCACTGTGTGGTTGCCTCTCATGCACTCCCGACGGGGAACCTGGCCCACAACCCAGGCATGTACGCTGACTGGAAATCGAGCCTTTGGTTCACAGGCCGGCACTCTGAGCCATGCCAGCCAGGGCGCCTTCTGGTAAATTCTGAAGCCTTCCTGTGGGTTCAGCTCTTCCTTCAGAGTTGAGACCTTGCCCCTCAGTAGCCTGGTTGGTAAAAGGGGCTGCATTCCAGAGGGAGTAGGGTTGCCAGATAAAATACAGGAACCACCCCACCCCCTCAGTGAGAGGGTAGCCTTGAGAGTTGGCTACCTGCCTTTCCTACCCTACCTGTAGTCTGTCACCTGCAATCTTAGCAGGTGCATTGCGTAGGAGGGTCTTGAACCACCCCACGTCCAGGGAGGGCCGTCTATTATCATGGGGATACAGCTGCCGTATTTTCTAGTACAAGATGACGTTATCCTAGGCCTTCTCTGTATTTAGTCTCAGTGAATTTTTGCAACCTGGCAGAGAGGCGTTACGGTCCCATTTTACAAAGCAGGAGGACATGGAAGCTCAGGGAATCGGGTGTGGTAAATTGCCTGAGATCGCACAGCTAGGAAGTCGCCTCAGCTCTGTCTGGCTTCTCGGCCAGTATTTCTCCCTCAGGAGAAAGGCATTTGGATGTTGGGGTGGGTGGCAGCCCCTCAGGGAGTGTGTCCCTCCCTTCCCCCTCTTCCACAGGGCGTGGACGCGTGGACGTAGCAGGCCTGGTTGTGGGGCTGACGTCCGGTATCCTGCTCATTGTGCTGGCCGGCCTGGGAGCCTTTTGGTATCTACATTGGCAACGGGGCCGAGGCCAGCCGCCCAGCCCTCAAGAGTAAGGGGGGCTTTGTGGGGGAGGGGCTGGGGGCTGGAGAGAAGGGTGAGCAGGGCAGGGAGGAAGGGGCAGCCTAAGGAGATGGACCAAGTATTGGGTGCAGGTGGGTGCTGATGAAAGATTTGGGGAGGCAGTCACGTGTAGACTGAGTTTGTGAGATTGTGTCTAGTTGTGGCATCTGTCTGTCTGCCTGCCTGCCTGCCTGTCTTCTCAGTACCTGGCACACAGTAGGAGCTCAATCCGTATTTGCTGCCTGTCTTTGCAGTACCAGGTTTCTGTGTGATTATCACTCTGTAAATATTGTATCTGGTAAAGCTGCAGCCTGTGGTCTATGCGCATCTGTGGGTGTCCGTGGTATGTCAGTTTCCGTGGTAAAGGGTGTAGCACATGTTTGTGTGCCTGTAGGAGTTGCTGGGTGTGTCTTTCTCTGTGGCAGGGTCTAAAAAGGTACTTGAGTGTCAGTCTTGGAAGTATAGTGGATCTGGGGATTTTTAAGAAGAGTTTATTGTGAATGGGTATCTCTGTGTTGTGTCTGTTTCGGTGAGTGTTCACCTGCCTCTCTGGAAGGCTGTCTTTTTCTCCCTTACTCTTCCTGTTATCCCAAGTACCTGTGTGTCTGTGAATAAGAGTCTCTCTTAGCAGTTGTTGATTTCTGGTCTGCCTGTCCCTGTGCATCTGTCTGTCATTTTGAGGTGCTTTGCTGCTTGTCAAGAGTGAAGGTGACCCTCTTTCTCCTTGGTCCATCTCCCTTCCACCTGTTCCCTGCCACTCTTAAGAGTCTCTGTCTCCCCAAGTCCTCCTTTCTTCTCCCAAGTCTTTCTATCTTGCAGGTTTCCCCTGCTAACCGTGCACCTTCTGTCCCCAGGGCCGAGCTCATCAACCCTCTCAGTCCCCTGAGCTCTCCGGGCCCGCCAACGCCTATGCCGCCACCCCAACCCCCAGGTCTCCCCACCTACGAACAGGCTTTAGCGGCCTCTGGGGTGCACGACGCACCTCCACCCCCCTATTCCAGGTACACGGCTGGACTTCTGCCCGGGGGCGGGGCGCAGAGGGGAGGGCCCTGCTGGAGGAGGGGCGTGGGCTCAGGGGCGGGACTTGGAATTTTGAGTTTATTATTCCGGGCGAGGTTTGAGCGCGGGGGCGGGGCCTTGTGCAATTGTCTGGGGGCGTGGCCCAGCGTTGTGAGTGTGGAGCAGTTGAGGAGGGTGGGTCTTGTGCTCAGAGGGTCTGGGATTGGCTAAGGAGCCCAGGGCGGGTCGGGATGGTCTTGGTTGGGGCGGGGTGGGGGGGGGGAGAGGAAAAACAGCCGGGTCTTTGACTCCCCACTGTGCCCCTCCCCACGCAGCCTCCTGAGGCCTCGCTGAAGAGCTGCTTCGGAGCCGGGGTTCCCCGAACTGTGCCCCAGATTCACACCGGATTCCGGAAGCCCTCAAGCCTCTTAAACTGCGGAGCTGAGCTTGGAGGGGGGTAGGGTGGGAGTAGGGGTCGTCCAGCCCGAGGCCTACCCTGGCACACGTGTTTCCGCCGCTTACGGATACACGCACGTCCCCGACGAAAATGTACCCGCGTTCCGGCACCTCGCGGGTCCCCAAGCTCTCTTGACCTTGGGGGTACCGGACAGCCCCGCCCCCTTGGGGGTAGGCTTGCGGTGGAAACTGACCCAGGCGCGCAGGCCAGGTGTGCAGTCTAGCGTGTGAGGTTTAACGCGGTCATCTCTGGCGAGTGCCACGGGCCACACACGCGCAGAGCCCCGCCCGGGCACACGCACATCTTCGTGCGCTCTCCATGCGCCTACAGGGGCGCTTTGCAACCCAGGGAAAGGGTGGGGGGCCATATGTGCAACCGTGCTCGTTGGGGACAGGCTCGCATTGCACCCGGGGGATTGAAACTCAGCTCTTCCCCTACATAAAAACCCTTTGGAAAAGAAACCATAAAAAGTGAAACAATGCAAAAAATAAACAACCGTGATCCTAGGCGCGTCTGCGCGTAGTGGAGCTGGATTTCTCTACAAACATTGCGCCCTACACCCCCAGGCCCTGCTTGCGCTGTCGGTCTCGTTCTCTCCCTCTCGTTTTTTTTTTTTTTTTTTTTTTTTGCATTTGCACGGGATTGTGGGAGGAAGCGGAGCGCAGCCAGACACCCCGCCGCCCGCCCCCCTTCCCCTCCCCCCTCCCCCAGCCGCCTTGTGCAAAGATGGCTGCACCGTGAGCGCAGCGGAGGAGGAGGTGGCGGCGGCGGCGGCGAGAGAGCGAGCACCCAGCGCCCGCACCCACCCCGGGGCCGCCCGGGACGCCCCCTCCTGAGCGCGCGCTCCCCTCTTCTCTCTTGCAAGCGCCGGGGCAAAGGCGGAGACAGCGGGGTCCCTCCTCCCCCCCTTTCCCTCAAGGGGGAACCCCCCTTCCCCCCTCCTTGGCTCGGCGGCTGCACCCCCTCCCTTGCCTGCCCCTCCGCCCCTGTTCCCTCCCTCCCCCGCCCGGGGCCTTCCCGGGCCTTCGGCGGCAGCAAAGAAAAAAGAGAGAGAAGGGAGAAAAAAAAAAGCAGCAGCGGAGGGAGCGGCGGCGGAGGAGAGCGCGCGCGCGCCCCCTCCTTCCCTCCCCCCTCCCCCTCCCCCCAATTTCCACCGCGGCCAATTCATGGACAGGAACTACCCCAGCGCCGGCTTCGGGGACCCGCTCGGCGCCGGGGCGGGATGGAGTTACGAGAGGTCAGCGAAAGCTAGGTAAGGTGCCGAGGGTGGCCTGGAGGAAGGGTCCAAGGGGTGGGGGCCAAGCCGGGCCGGGCCGGGCCCGCCCGGCGACGCGTGCATCGCAAACTCCCCTCCGGCTTGTGAGGGAGCGGCCTTCCTCGGTTTGCAACAACGCCGCCGCCCCAGTTTGCAAATTGCAAACTCCGCCAAAGCTAGCTCCGGCGTGCAAAGGGAGAGATGCAGCGGGAAAAGGGGATGCAAAACAATTCCGGACGAATAGGCCTTGGGGAGGTGGGAGGGACTGGCGAAGCAAGGCCTGGATTTCCCCCATCCTTAGATTCCCGGTTTGCTGACCCCTCCCCCCCGCGTCCCAGGCTCTGTTCTTGCAAAGGTGGGAAGGAAAGGAGAATTAGATTGCAGACCTGGGGGGCGCGCCCCCCTCCCAAGTTCCATTGTTCCGGGACTGCTCGAGGCCGCGCCACTCGGGCCCCCCCGAAATTCCGCGCGCAGAGTGGGTACGGAGCCCCGCCCCCTTCCTAAGCTGGGGTTCCGTGTGTGTAGTGGGGGGGTCCTGGTATCTGAGACACACCCCCTTTAACTCCCCACCCCAAAGGCAGGGAATCCTAGTTGATGGCGAGGAGTGGAGTGTTTGACCTCTTTGAGTCTGGGCCATAGATTGGGGCCATTATTGCACGGGAAGATTCGGGTGTGTGGCTGTGTGTGAGTGTGGATCCTGCGCGTGTGTGACTGGCATTCCGTTCCCCTGCGAATCTGCCCCTTACCTACTGTTTGTGTCGTGCCCTCACTCTTCACCTGCCCCAAACCAACTCCCTCCCCCAACACACCTGGGTTTTCCAGCATGGCTGGGCATGACCACACGTGTGTTAGTTCCATGTGGGACTCTTCGCTCTGTGTTTTTCCTTCACCAGGGGTGAGCTGGATACTCTTTGCACACATACTTGGCTTTGCATGGTCCCATGCATTTGAACCTCAGTCCCAGGGCCTGGACTGTGTTCACATTCGCGCTCTGTCTGGTACTCTACTCTCCCCTCCTCATCCCACATCCTTGCTATTTGGGGAACAGTCTACCTCCTGCTCCCAACTGGCTTTGCACCTCTCCAGGAGGTTCAAGGCCTCTGTGTTCCCACGTGTCTGAAAAAGAGGGGGCGTCTGTGCACAGCTATGGGTTTGGTCCCAGGGTCTGGTGTCATTGACTGGGTGGGAGAGTCGTTCGTAGGAGGTCCACATTTTCAACTCGAGGTACTTCCTCTGACTCTTCACCCTCACTGTGTTTTACTCTTCACCTTTTCTGTGTTTGTCTTATACCTGTGCATGTTTCTGTGTTTGTAAACGTGAGACTATATGGGCTTTATTCACTGGAGCTCGGAGCTCGGGGCACTTTACTGCTGCTGGGGTTCGAGTGGGGATTTCTGTGGCTCTTTAGCTGGGCGCCCCGATTGCCTTGTTTTCCTTTAGGGCCCAGGGTTCCTTAGGATAATCCCCATTCAGCTGGAAGAATTTCCCCCAACTCCCTCGGGGATTTGCTGGGTTCCCTTCTCCGAGGGCAGCTTCGGAGGATACCCTAACATCTCCCCCTTCCCCCCAGCTTGGTCTATGGCAGCTCCAGGACCTCGCACCCCGAGACGGACATCTTACACCGCCAGGCCTACGCAGCCCCCCACCCACTGCAAAGCTATGCCACCAACCATCACCCTGCAGGTACGGCCCCCATCCCGCCCCGCCTGGGCTGGCCCGCCCTCTGAGGAAGCTGATTGGCTGGTGAAAGTTCCACCCCTCCTAATTGGCCTTGCCTTGCATCCTGGCCCGCCCCTTGTTCTCCTTTCTCTGATTGGTTGGTAAGAGGCTGCTTAATATCACACCGGATTCGTCTGCCTCTGTCTGTGGCCCCGCCTATTTGGCTCCAATTGGCCCCATCCCCAGTCCCCAAATCCCACCTTCTCTTCCAGGCTTTTCCGCTTCTCCAGCCCACCCATTCACTTCCCTCTGGGTTTGCCCATTCTTTTGGCTTCTCGGTTCTTTGAATTTTTTTTTTTTTTAATTTATTGATTTTAGAGAGAGAGGAAGGAGGAAAGAGAGGGAGAAACGTCAATTTGTTGTTCTATTTATTTATGCGTTCCTTGGTTGATTCTTGTATGTGCCCTGCCTGGGGATCGTACCCTTAACCTTGGTATATATTGGGAGGACACTTTAACCAACTGAGCTGTCTGGCCAGGGTCTGGTTCTCTGAATTCTTTTTTTCTGATTCCAGTTCTTCCTGATTGGCTCCAATTCTTTGGACCTCCCCCTTTTCCCTTAGATTTACCCACTTCCTTATTCTCTCCCAGCGGCTCTCTGCCTGTAAGGCTTCTGATTGGCCTCCTTCTTTTGATCCAATTGCTCTTCTTGCTTGGTGGACTAGCAATGAGAAAGTGTAGTCCAGTTTGACCCTTGACCCTCCTGGTTGGTTCCTTTTTTCATCCCCCTCCTTTTTTTTCCGGATCTTCTCACTTTTATTCAATTCTTTTTTGATTTATCCTCTTGTTCTTCCCAGTAGTTCCAGTCATCTCGTCCCTTACCTTTGTTGGAATTGACCAAATACCTTGGCCTCACGCTCCGCCCTTTTGTCCTCACTTCCTTTACTTATGGGTTTTTCTATTCCTTTGTCTACTTTTTCTCTTTCTGGGCCCTCTGCCCTTATGATTTCAGTGCACCCCATCCTGCTTATTGTCTCCATAGCTTTCACCCCCTGACTTCCCTCCAGTCCCTCTTCCTGACCCAGCTTGCTTTTGGCCTGTTCCCTTGCAACCCTGCCCTAGCCCCTACCTAGCTGACTCTACCCCCTGTTTCTGGCCAGGCCTCTCTGGACTCTTCGACACTGGCCTTCACCACGCGGGCTCAGCAGGGCCCGACGCCTCCGTCATGAACCTCATCTCGGCCCTGGAGTCCCGGGGCCCCCAGCCAGGCCCCTCCGCCTCCTCTCTCCTCTCCCAGTTCCGCAGTCCTTCCTGGCAAACAGGTAAGCCCAGTGCTAACTACGGAGGGCCAGGGTGGGGCTGGCTCGTGGTCCCCCCTGACCGACGGTCTCCTCCGTCATCCCCAGCCATGCATACGCCAGGCCCCACGGAGCTCTTCATCTCAGGCGCCCTGCCGGGTTCCAGCACCTTTCCATCCTCCTCTGCCCTGTCGGCCTACCAGCACCCGGCTTCCTTCGGCAGCCGCCCCTTCCCAGTTCCCTCGTCCCTCAGCCTCCAGGACCCCCCATTCAGCCCCCCAGCGAATGGGCTCCTGTCCCCTCATGATGTGCTGCACCTAAAGCCCTCGCAGGCACCCACGGTGCCCTCCTCGCTAGGCTTTGAGCGCCTGGCGGGGGGCGGTGTCCTGGGGCCCGCTGGTCTTGGCCCGGCCCAGACTCCTCCTTACCGCCCCGGTCCCCCCGACCCACCTCCACCTCCCCGACACCTCCCGACTCAGTTCAACCTGCTGGCTTCCTCTTCCGCTGCCGCCGCCGCCGCTGAACAATCCTCCCCACAGCTCTACAACTTTTCGGGTGCTGCCCCAGGCCCACCGCCACCCGAGCGGGCCCTGCCCCGCCAGGACACTGTCATCAAGCACTACCAGCGGCCAGCCAGCTCCCAGCCGCCGCCACCCCCGCCACCCGCCCATGCCCTCCAGCACTACCTGAGCTGTGGAGGCAGCTATCCCTCCATGGGCCATCGGGCCAACCTAGCCTGCAGCCCCCTGGGTGGTGGGGAGCCTTCCCCAGGTGCTGGGGAGCCTAGCAAGGCTGGGCCCAGCGGAGCCACGGCGGGAGCATCCGGCCGGGCTGCGGGCCCCGAGGCAACTGGAGGAGGTGGGGCAGGGGGTGGTGGCGGAGGTTACCGCCCCATCATTCAGTCACCTGGTTACAAGACAGGCAAAGGTGGTTACGGAGCAGCTGCAGGTGGTGCCAACAGACCCCCACCACCTCGTTCAACTGCCACCCCCAAATGCCAGAGCCTCGGGGGGCCAGCAGCGGCCTATGCCACCGGGAAGGCCTCTGGGGCTGGCGGGGCGGGAGGCCAGGCCTATTCCCCCGGTCAGCCCCAGGGCCTTCTAGGACCCCAGGCCTATGGGCAAGGGTTTGGAGGGGGTCAAGCACAGGACTTGAGCAAAGGCCCTAGCTATTCAGGAGGGCCTCCGCAGCCCCCCAGCGGCCCCCCGCCTCCCGGCCTAGCCACATGTCAGAGCTACTCCCCCGATCAGCTGCAGGGGCAGCTGTATGGGGTGCAGGGCGAGCCATACCCTGGGCCAGCTGCCCACTCCCAGGGGCTGCCCACGGCCAGCCCCTCACTCAGCTATAG